TAATTTACGTGAAAGTGATAGATTTTACAAAATAAATTATACTTTATATGTCAATTTGACCATTAATAAAATACCAAAGCAAGAAAACGAACAAACAGGTAAAAGCCACACATCAAACAAAAACTAAGTATCACCAATTTTATTAAAATCGATAACAAAAATGTATTCTATAACAATTAAACAACAGCCTGTATACCGCACACACACATACACAGTCACACACACAATAACAACGCACACACACAACGTTATGTTAAATTTAATTGTAAACGTACACCATGCGCTGTGCTCGCTAGAAATTGGGTTCTGTACATAATATTAATTCGGATTAGGGTTCCGTTGGTACAAAAACATATTTATTTAAGTCAAAGTCAAAATTTCAATTGAACCATAATTTTGGTACTTTTGAAACGTCAACAAATACAAAATAGATAATAGTCTGTCAGTCTGTTCGTCAGTAAAGCTATATAAGTGCTCATTCCAAAATTAATTTTCGGTGAAAATGTCTGGTCTCTCTTTGTATTCGACAAAGACTTAGTTTTTATGTATAATACATATCTAAGGAGAGCCATGCTTCGGCACGAATGGGCCGGCTCGACCGGAGTGCTACCACGGCCTCACAGAAAACCGACGTGAAGCAACGCTTGCGTTGTGTTTCGTCGTGTGAGTGGGGTTACCGGAGGCCCAAATCCCCCCCCCCTCCCCAGTCTCCCCAATTCCCGAATCCTCTACAATCCTCAAATTCCCAATTCCCAAAAGGCAGGTAACGCACTTGTAACGTCTCTGATGTTCCAGGTGTCCATGGGCGACGCCTATTGCTTACCATCAGGTGATCCGTCTGCTCGTTTACCGGCTTATGCCATAAAAAAACAAAGATATTCATTGGTTGATGATATATTTTTAATAAATTATGTATATAATAAGATATGCAAATTCATTTATTACTTAATTGTAAACATAGGTAACATTGGGGTCTTAACTCGTCGAGTACCGGTTTTGTAGACACAATTATAGAACGATAGGTTGCGGTCACCGGTGACCGCTTGGTGTTTGACAGTTTAAATAACATTTTTAATCGCTATGTTAGCTTTTGACAGCATACAAAATTATAAAATAGTTGGAAACAATGATAACATAACATCACGCCTTTTATCCCCGAAGGGGTAGGCAGAGGTGCACATTATGCATTGTGCAGTATTCGTTTTAAGAAAATATTCAATGTTGTTAATTTTTTTACGTTTTTATTATGTGGGTACCTAATTACCTACCTATCTACACAATTCGATGGGGTGCCATGCCCGGCCAAAACCACACCCATTTTTCGCCACGTACTTATATTTTATTATTACCATCGTATTCCTATTATATAGGGGAGCGACTACAGAAAAACAAAATACCATATTCAATAATTGCGAATTTCCTAATTGAATAACTCAATAGAAAATTTAAATACGTTAGAATTAGAATTCTAACTTATTCCTTATATTTGAGCCAGCCATTATACTCAAGCAACAAATAAAAAATAATCTAAAACATTCATATTTCAAAACAGAATTCTAATTTATTCCTTATATTAAAATTTGTAATTTAATCTTTATTTTACTCGGGAATCGAACCCAGCCATAACGATAAACTTCACTCCACCATCAAATCAAAAAACTTATAACACATACATATTTAATTTATATAACACATAAAAAAAAAATCCAAGCAAACCCGCAGAATAAGGGTATATTAACAAAATTGCGAATTACTATTAAACATTCTTTTGAAGGGGCTAAAATAACACAGAGCCGTATTCTGGAGCGGCGGCGGCCATCTTTGATTTTCAATTAGTTATATTTTGGTAGTAATCTAGAATATTTCATTAAAGCTTAATATTTTGTTATGTGCCTTACAATTACGTCTCGTTTTTGTGTACCTTTTGACTACTGTAATAAAACAATTATTTCTTGAATTTAATATTAATGTAGTTAGCTTATATCAGCAACTTCGCCCGCGTTACCGTGGTATAAAAAGTAGCCTATGTGTCACTCCAGACCATAATCTACCCCTGTTCCAAATTTCATCCTAATCCCTTCAGTCGTTTAGATGTGATTGAGCAAAAAACATACACAAAATATACATAAACACACAAACATTCACATTTATAATATAAAACAGTAAGATAATGAATTATTGACTTAAACCAATCAACCACAGTCACTTCTAACCAAAAAAGTCCCCCTCTATTAATAAAAAACTCCCACAAAACCAAAAAAACAGACACAAAAACTTCGACCTTTCAAAAACAGCTGACTATCGAAATCAGCTGACACCGACACACATCAACCTATGCGAAACCAGTATAAATTGGCCGTCGAAAGTGCGGAAAGATCGTACAAAGCAAGACCATAATAAAGTGGTTATGTATAGCTTGAAGTTCTCCAGTATAATCTGGCCGTCGAATATGAGGAGAGATCGTTCAAAGCGAGATCATAATATATTGGTTTATTGTACCCGTGTGTTCGTACGACGACGATACCTCGTTGCGAGATCGCGCCAGTATCGCGACCCCTCTCCTAAATATCTGGGGGTCGGTTACTTATTCGAAAGCAATTTTAGTTCAACCCCCCACCACCCACCTTCATTTAGAACCGTGCAGGGTCGGATTTGGGAAACAGGGTTCAGTTGTTTCATGTTTTTTTTTGTGTTTTTATTTTTGTGTTTTTATTTTTGTGTGTGCAATTTCTTTTTATTTGTAGAAGAGACTTATTTGTGTATTAAATTGAAGTGATTTGAATTTTGTGTTAGGGTTTTTAATTGCTTGATTGGTCACTGTCTGTCTGTAAGAGAAGGTTAGATTCGTGAGTTACAACATGTTGTTGATATTTTCTGGTGACAAATGTCTCTCAGTCTTGCGTATTATTGATTTTTAGTTTTAAAAGATCTTATGGACAGTGGGTGTTCATGTTCAATTTAAAAATTGCAACTGTACCTTTGATAAACAAAATGTAGATGGAAGATGGTCTATAGGGATGTGTCGTAACAGGCGTTGCACCGTGAAGGGTCCGAGTATCTTTTAGAGGACCCGTTGTCTCAATAGAGGTGTTGAAGGTAGCCACCAGGGTGGTTTTAGTGAGGTAAAAATCCCACACTCCCTAGTCTTTTATCCCAAGAAGCTTGACGCCTTTTGAAGGTTTACCCCCCTTTATCTAAATGAAAGGCGGATGACGGTATAGCGCTAAAATCCAACGAAACTATGTAACTAGAGATTGTATTGTGAACCTGATTGAAAAAGAGTAACCTATGGAGTTTCTGGCTCGTTCTTCTACATAGGAATCTATTCTATCTATCACTTTGGAATGAGCAACTAGAAGACTGATTAGGCTGCCACTTTTTAATATTTCATTGTGACGTTTTGCGACGTGTATTCGTGGTCTCATCATCTACAGCTTATAAATGCTCACTGCTGAGCAAAGCCTCTTCTCACACGGAAAAGGTTTGAACATTAATCGCCACGCTTGCTCAATGGGGGTTGGCGGTTTCAAACTTATAATTAGAAATTATAAGCCCAGGTTTCCTCACGATGTTATCCTTCACCGTTTGTCAGCGGTGTCTAAATAATCTTAGAAAGTACATATAACTGGGCAAATGTCACATTGGTACTTGCCATTGGTAGGTTTCGGACCCACACCCTCGTGCATGAGAAGCAGGCGTCTTCAACCTCAGGGCTACGACGACACCCTGGTCTAATTGAAATGAATGATTTTGACTTTTTTTTGACTCTTTGATTGGTTATTTTGCTGTAACCGGGATCAGGAACTTAAAATTAAAAAATAATAGGTACTATTATTAAGATTTTTGTTATATGATTAGTAAATACACCCACATGTGTAGATTATGTCGAGTGTGGAGAAATTAAAAGCGATTTTATCCCCGTTGGGGTAGGCAGAGGTGCACATTACGGCACTTAATGCCACTGTACAATGTAACACCTACTTTTCAATATTTATGTTATATATATATGACTCATAAGTCATATTGCCATATTTGCCATATACCGAGCACAATTCCAAAATCTGCTACTACTGAGACTCACGTGTAAATACTAAGAAAAGCTCTACTAGTTTCGAGCCACAGAGGGGTTCTTCCTCATGAGCAGCGTGCGCGGTCGCGGCGATGTCGCGCAGCCATATGTGGTTCGAAACTAGTAGAGTATTTTCAAATGCCGCGATAGCCTGCGATTTTTATTTTATTTAGTATGTCTCACGATAGTTATTATAAAAACATGAACCAAACCATTAAAAACCTCTCTTATCAACACACACAATCACACAACACAACACATAACCAAATCAACCTTCATAGCATACCGGATAAAAAACCCTGAACTCCAAATACATCCCTGCGCCCCCGTCCCACCCCCAGTAATTCGGGCCGGCTGCCCGCACCGATTTATTTGTGCTGGCTTTAATTATGTACACACACTGTAGCTCAGCATATACCCTTACAGTAACGGGGTAGGCAGAGGTTTAAGACATTTTTAAACTTTTTAAAATTATAATAAATGAATTATATAACAACATCACGTGTTTTGATATCCGGAGGAGGAGGCAGAGGTCTAAGACTTTATATGGAGGTCATAATCGATACATTTATAACTTGGCCTACTAAGGCCTAAACTAATCGAAACGAGACTACGTTTACGAGTACGTACGTCGACGAGAGAAAAGCTCTACTAGTCTCGAGTCCCCAGGCTGCCTGACGTCGCCGCGACCGCGCACGCGACTCATAGAGAAGAGTCCCTCTGTAACTCGAAACTAGTAGAGCTTTTCTCGTTAGCTCACATGAGTAAACCGGTGTTTTTAATTTATTTATGGTGTACATTATTAATAAGGGGTTGATTTATCGTATCTTTTTGAAAAACAGGAAAGAAAATTCATACTATCATCTAATGCTAGTCTAAAGATAAAATCACCGTACTCTTTGTACTTAAACTTTCACCACTCTGATTCCAGGACGAGGTGCTAGCCATCAACGACAAGGTGGTCCTCCGAGCCGAAGACCTCCTGACCTGGATGTGTGTGGGCACGGAGTGGCGCTGGGGGCTCCGCGCAGTGTGGCGTGGTGCCTGCGCCCCTCCCGCCGACATGCCGCGCCATGCTCCCCTGGCACATAGCAAACTGGACTTCAGCGATGTTGACAATGAGAAGAGTACCATTGGTAAGTTAAGTAACATATCGTATTCAATTGAGTGTGCGAAGGAATTACACAACTTGATTCCCCCTAGTCCTTCCCATCATCTCCATCCATTTCCACCACAAGACAATCGGCGAAGCGTCACCGATTCATGGTAGATGTCCCACTCACACGCACGGAGCGCTTCGCATCAAGCTACCTTGTGCGTACTGCTAAGGAGTTGAATTCTTTGCCAGAGTCTATATTTCCTGAACGGCTTATGGGACGACGTGCTCCATCGCTTACCACCAGGCGAGATAGTGGCAGAACGTCGGGCCACCGAATATAAAAAAAAAACATTATTATGGAAAATAAGCAGCGTTATAAAACCTCAAGACTCGAGTGAATACGTTGCTTAGGTAGGCGTGCTCCATCGTAGGACGCATCATCGTGCACCACCAGCCGAGATACTGGACAAACCTAAGCCCATAATTGTGAAGAGCACGGTGTGGTGGCTGGGAAACATATAGCCTGTTCGATACCCGCACGGAACAACTCTTTGTGTGATCCATAGATTGTTGTTCCGGGTCTGGGTGTCTAGGTGGTGGGTGTCTGGGGATTGCAGTTAGGTCACCGACAACATAAGCTCGTATAGAATGCTAACTGCCCAATTCCAGTTCAGAAATCACCGCCAGTGATTCGTGAGGAAGACTATTTTTTACATGCGAACAAAGCCATGGTCAGAAAGCTAGTAAGATATTAAACCACCTATAGTACAACTGATCAAGACAAAACTGTTTTTATGACATTTTTACCCGACATCAAAAAAGGAGATTCTCAGTTCGACCTGTATGTATGATTATGCGTGATTGTCTCTCGATTGGCTAAGCCGATTTAGATGCGGTTACACTTAGAAGCCGTCGATGAAACAAATAAACGGATGACGTCACAAAAATTCTAACGATATTCGATAGAAAATGCCAACGAACAACTGTTAGGCAAACCCAGTAGCCCGGCTAGAGCGTGGTTCGTGGCGGGGCAAACCACCGGACTCGACACCGCATCGGGGAGGAGCCCGACTATTCCAACCCCTCGCCTGCGCAGGCAGCGAAAGAATCCACCGAGACAGGCATCGGCCTGAACCGTGCGACCTCGTGCCCCAGTCGGGGACGTGGCGATGACCGACGATGACAACTGTTGGGCAGAAACCCCGCCAGGCACAAACACCTCGCCTGGTCGAAGGATCATCCTTTTCTGATCTTAGAGCACTATACACTCTGTTCCCTAAATATTAATTAACCGACTTCAAAAGAAGGTTGGAAGTCCGTTTTTTACTTGGACTTCGTAGATGAAGTCCAAGTAAAAAATGTTGACCAATACATTAATACTAAACATATATAAAAACCTATATTTATCATCACTAATTCAAGTACTATACATCTTTCAGAAGTGGACGCCGAAGCTCCAGGAGTGGTGGTCTTCTCCTACCCTCGCTACTGCCGGTACAGGGCTCTCATAGCTCGGTTAGAGGGCATCCAGGCGACCTGGCTGAGGGACTCCTTGGTAGCTGCCCTCGGCGGGTATGCTGCACCCACAAAGAATACCAGGATTTTATATTGCAAGGTAAATAGTTGATGGCTGTAGCTAACCATATCCTATGAAGGTATGCCTGGTCGTTCATTTAACATCTTACTATGTATAAAAATGAATTTCTGTTTGTTAGTCCCGCTTAAACTCGAGTACGGCTGAACCGAATTGGTCTTGAAATGTTCGTCCAGAGAAGGTTTAAAGTTTGCCGGGTTAGCTAGTATCACTACATAGTATAAAACAAAGTCGCTATCCGCCGTCTGTCTGTCCCTATGTATGCTTAGATCCTTAAAACTACGCAACGGATTATGATGCGGTTTCTTTTAATAGATAGAGTGATTCTTAAGGAAGGTTTATATGTATAATACATGCATATTGCACCCGCGCGAAGCCGGGGCGGGTCGCTAGTAATATTATACAGATGTCGCGGAGAACCTAACGGGTAACTGGGGCTCCGGCTTGATGTGCAGGAGAAGGAACGGGGTGGTTTTTAGTCAGTAAGAGTCTGACACTCCCTCCCGCCTCACCCAGGCGAGAGCAGCCATTCGATGATTTAAAAAAATAGTAATATTTAAAAAAAAAGTAATATTATAGATGAGAAATATTGTGTATGTTGTTCTTCAATCACATCAAAACGGCTGAACGAATCGGGATGAGATTTGGAACAGGGGTAAATTATAGTCTGTAATAAGACAACACTGTAGACTTTTTATTACACGTCAACGCGGACGAAATCGCTGACAATATCAGCATAATTATTAATTATAGTACACGTGGCGCCCTCTATAGCTTGCATTTCATACATTGATACATCATATAGTTACATTTCAGTTTAAAAGTTTTATAAGACCTTAGTACTCGCGTACCTAGGTCATTCAAAAAATCTGAGAATTTCAAAAATCGAAAATTAGGTTGCCATAGTGGCACCTTAACCCAAGCTATCTGCGCTCGCGGCCGACACCTAGGCTAGCGCGTGTAACGAAACCATAGCGCGATCTAACTCGAGCCCAACGCCATCTATCGAGCGCAGAGACAACTCTACTTCGTGTAGAGCATTTTATACTTAAATAAATTTTATTTTAATCATAAAATATGGTAATTTTCTATTTAATATTTGCATTAAAATAAATTGTAATTTTTTTTATAGTCTTATCTGATTTGTATTGCAAAATAACCTCAATTCAGTCAGCTATATGTAAATTTTTGATTCAAAGTACATATTATATGGTTATTTCACGTCGGTTCCTCACAGAAGTGAGGCCTTTACAAAGTCAAAGTCAAAGCATTTATTTAAATTAAACCATAAATTGGTACTTATTAAACGTCTATAAATACATAATAAATAATAGTCTGTCAGTCAGTCCGTTAGTGAAGCTAAGTGAAGCTAGGTGTTCATTCCAAAATGTAGATTCGAATGGAGAAGAACGAGCAAGAAACTCCATTCGTTACTCTTTTAAAAAAATTATGTTCTTCAATGTCTCTGATACATATTCCAATATTGTACGTATACGTGAGAACAATGCAAAGACACGCTTGAAGCATTATAGGTACTAATTACAAACCTTACTAAAAATAAAAGAAATAAAAAATATCTTACAGTCTAACATGGTGCTCACATATGTATACTGACAATCCATAAAAATAGTGCTTCTATACAAGAAAAAGGAAACTCTTTGTTTCAATAAAGAAAGAAATGTTCAATGCCATAAGGAAACTAGATTGTCTACGTTAGAATGAAAGTATTAAATGACCTACTATTGGAATGCCATGGAATGATCAATGAAATATTATTGGAATACAAACTGCATTATACCCTGTAGAGGTATATACTAAAAATTAACTGTACTTCGCAATTTTCAAACTTATGTGAACATATTATATTTCTCATGGTTAAGGCTGTATAACTTTGGAAAACGAGTGTTAAATTGCTCCACTTTTAGAAAGAAAGAAAGAAAGAAAGAAAAATAATTTATTCGCCACCAGACATGGACCACCGAAAATTAACAAAAAACATAAACATTGAAAAACAAACAATAAAGAGAAAACAATATAAAAAAACATAAAATAACAAAATAAAAAAAACAACAATAAAGCCAAAAAGAAAAAAAAAACATGATATAAAAAAAAAGCAAAATAAAAGAGACAGGGTGGCAGCATGTCAACGACGAAAGGGCTCGCAAACTCAGTGTAAGCTGGGTACAGTAAGTACCCAACACTGATTTTCAGTTGGCACCCCTGCAGTGACGCACGGACGGAAGCAACGAAAAATTATTAAAAGGAAAATAATAGGAATATATAAGACATGTTAAAACAATAAAAGAAAAGGAAGATATTTAAACACAGACCTCTGTGTGTGTGTACATTGTGCGATAAAAAAATAAATAAATAAAAAATAAGTATACATACATAAACTAGTGCTACGTGTACCGTCACCGAAGAAAAGAAAAATAAAAAAAATATAAACCACATATATCACGACAATTAAAATAGTGTGGGAAGATTGTGGTCGTGAAGCTATCGCGCAGCCTTAAGTTATACAATGTACTGTAATGATACCTGAGTCAAAATTAAGTTATTATTTTCTACTGAATTTACTTTGAACGTGTAAAATTGTAGGTTAATATTATATTTAAGTGATATTTAATATTAAAACTGTAATCCATTATACAGATTTTTAAATGTTGACTTGACTTTGAACCATGTAAAATTATGTCAAGAAAATGACGTCTTAAAATTACAAAATTTCACTTAAAACTCTTACTTGATTGTAAACGAATTTATAGTCAACTTTTGAACTCTGTAAGATCTACCTTTAAAAAATATTTCTTACTAGCTGTTGCCCGCCACTTCGTCCACGTAAAATCCTATTTTATCTCATGGGAGCATTTAATCAGGATACAAAGCCTATCTTATCACCTAAGTCAGCCCATACCCTGCCTGTATAAAAAATTTTATCGAAATCCGTTCTGTAGTTCCAGCGTGATTGACGTACAAACATCCGAACAAAGAATCTTTCACATTTATAATACACTAGCGGCCCGCGGGTGCAATATGTATGTATTATACATATAAACCTTCCTTAAGAATCACTATCTATTAAAAAAAACCGCATCACAATCCGTTGCGTAGTTTTAAAGATCTAAGCATACATAGGGACAGACAGACGGCGGGTAGCGACTTTGTTTTATAGATACTATGTAGTGATTAGTGTAGGTAGTTTAATTCTTGTACTGACTTAATATAGCCAAGTTTCAAGTTAGTAACTGTAAAAATAAAATAACTACACAAAATAAAAAACATATTACGTAATTTTTTTGTATGAATACCGGATTCATTACACTCTACAAGGGACTCTACCAAAATAAATCGCGTCGAGTTGTCTCTGCGCTCGATAGATGGCGTTGGGCTCGAGTTAGATCGCGCTATGGTTTCGTTACACACGCTAGCCTAGGCGTCGGCCGCGCGCACACATAGGTCGGGTTAAGGTGCCACTATGGCAACCTAATTTTCGATTTCGAAATTCTCAGTATTTTTTTGCATGATCTAGGTACGTGAGTGCTAAGGTCTGATATACTTAACAAAATAGAATAATAGATTTATATTTTATATGTATAGAGATATAGATTATGATTATTAAAAATCTTATCGTACTAGCTTCTGCCAGCGATGTCGCCCGTTGGCGTATTATTGTATTATTATTTATTTATTTAATAATAAAGGTACCTGATATGCCTTACAATGTAACGCCATGTGCAACAAAACTATATACATAATAATATAAATAGTTTGACTGTTGGATCTTCTACCTATATTTGTTTTAAATTATGTACTGTTTATTATGATAATGGTTATAATTAATTTTAAATACATATATATAGTTATGGTAGCGTGCTAAACAGGTTTTTTTTTTATTCAGTCTTAAAATTATTTTTATTTTTCTCTTCCCTGACTTCGTTTGGGAAATGGTTGAGTAAGTACGGGATACGCTTTTTCAATGATCGATCACCATAAACATTATTAACCCTTGGTACCTCATGTACCAGACGACATCGATCGGGTGTTGTATTTATTACCATACTGTTATCAGTGGTGGATTATGTTCCTGTTTGCTGTGGTTAGCTGGGAGGCTAGTAAAAATATAAGAAGCAAGTGTACTCGAATAAATATAAAATAATGATGTATGAGGTAATAATAATATATACAAAGAAAGTTATTTTATTTATCATAATAATATGATATATTAATGTCTCCACATTAATAACTGATTAATAACTGAAATTTTCTCAAAAAAATTATAATTAGTGAACATTTTATAACGACGAGCATGCATGAAAATATTGATGACTGTAGACTGTGGATAAAGCGAAAGAGGTATGTAGGAATCGTAGCAAGTCCAAAGTCTCTGCTTACCCCCATGGGCAACAGTCGCGAAGTTATGTATGTATTATACAATGTAATTCTGGTGTCTACATTTGCACCTTGCACATTCATAAATACAAAAGTTAAAAGACAAAATAAAATAAAAATTATTATTTAAAGACCCATTAAAATCCAACAACTACCTTTATTTATTTATCTTCTTTATACATACATATAATTCTGCTGTACGTGTGTATGTCATTGAACTCCTCCTAAACGGTTTGACCGATTTAAATGAATTTTTCTGTACGCGTTTAAGTGGCGCTCTGGATGGTTCAGATTCACAAATCAGTCCGGCGCGGCAGATGGCGCTGTAGTCGGTATCTAGGTTATTTACCTATACTTATTAACTCGTCGAGTACCGGTTTTGTAGACACAATTATAGAACAATAGGTTGCGGTCACCGGTGACCGCTTGGTGTTTGACAGTTCAATATACTAGCTACTTCCGCACGGTTTCATACGCTGTTCTTAGCTCCTATTGACCGTAGCGTGATGTTTTATAGCCTATAGCCATCCTCGATAAATGCGCTATTCAACACAAAAAGAATTATTCAAATCAGACTTGATTAGCGCGTTCAAACAAACAAACAAGAAAACAAACTCTACCGCTTTATAGAGGTATAATAGTACAAGATTTTTTTTTTTAAAAAAACGTTGCCCCACACTAGGATTTTCTCCTGTGTCGTTGGTGCGTTTACAAACATACAAGTTCACAATTCACATACATAATGACACCCAGACCCGAAACAACAATTTGTGGATCACACAAAGTGTTGTTCCGTGCGGGAATCGAACCCGCGACACGTTGCACGGCAGCCGGTTGCCCAGCCACCGCACCAACCGTGCAGCCAATATTATTATTATTATATAAAATGCAGGACAACGTCTGTCGGCTACGCTAGTTTATTTATTTTGTGCACAACACACACAGTACAATAGGAGAACGGTCACTTTCCAAACTTAATCTTGCTATAACTACCACAAACATACCAAAAAAAATACACATATATTTTTTTATAACAACATACAATCTATATTTATCAAATTTAATGAAATTATCAAAAAATATTATGTTGTATTTTTCAACACCGCATGGAGTTGTCTCTGCGCTCGATAGATGGCGTTGGGATCGAGATAGATCGCGCTATGGTTTCGTTACATGCGTTTGGCTGGGTAGCGCGGTACAGTCGAACAACTCATTTTCGATTTTCGAAATTCTCAAATTTTTTTTGGATTGATCTCAGTACGAGAGTACTTAGGTCTATATTAATGCCTAACAATTTTACAGTTCTAGATTAGATCTAGAGTTAAGAGTCTAGACTGTCTAGAGTAGACTAGAACATGAAAGATTACGATAGCCTAAAATAAAGACTTATAAATAACTAGCTGTTGCCCGCGGCTTCGTTCGCTTAGAATTAAATTCCTGTTTATCACATGGGTGCATTTACATAACATCACGCCTTTTATCCCCGAAGGAGTAGGCAGAGGTGCACATTACGGCACTTAATGCTTCTGCACATTGTAACGGCCACTTTTCACTATTTATGTTATGAGTCCCATGTAATAGGGGGTGAGCCTATTGCCATATACCGGGCACAATTCCAGACTCCGTGCTACTACTGAGATCTAAAAACCTAGTAATATTTTGCCCGACCCGGGAATCGAACCCGAGACCTCTTGCCCTTAATTTTATAATTTTGGTAGTGAATTAGTATTTCTAATATTAATCTCCCATCTCCTTGCTCCCCAGGACACATTCGAATACCCAGAACTGGAAGGTCATGAGTTTGTCTGCAATCACCTGGCGCCTCGTCTAAAAGGTCGGCCTCGGGGGCGCCGGCGCCGGGCAACCACGCCTGATGACAGAGATCATGATCCTACGTCCGATAGGTCGGACTCTGATGACCAGAGACCTAACACTGCTTCAGATCCACCGGTAAGATGGTATATAATCCCCATCATCATGAGCATATAAGGGGTTACTACTACTCAAAGGCTTCTTCTCACACAGAGAAGGTTTGAGCATTAATCTTCAAAGGTTTCGTTATGGTATAAGCAGGTAAACGAGCAGAAGGATCACCTGATGGTAAGCAATCGACGTCGCCCATGGACACCTGGAACACCAGAGGCGTTACAAGTGCGATATCGGCCTTTTGGGGATTAAGAGTTTGAGGATTAACTAAAATCGCTGGTTACACTGAAATATTGGCGAGCGCCAACGCCAGCCAGTGAGCTGCGCGACATCGCCGCGACCGCGCACGTTGCTCATGAGGAAGAACCCCTCTGTGGTTCGAAACTAGTAGAGCTTTTCTCAGTATATTCACGTGAGTAACCCGTGTTTTTACTTAATTTAGTATGTCTCACGATAGTTATTATATAAAGTTTGAGGATTGTTGGGGATTTAAGTTCTTATTTGTCCTGTCCAGACCCCTCGTCGCCTGTCCCTCCGAAACGGCGGCGGTCCTCAAAGTGAGGAAGAAGATGAGGAGTACAGACGAGTGGAACATAGTCCTGAAGACCTCGCCTTCCTTCACCAGCTCAAGACATTCTATAAAAGCCGCTGTGAAACCTTCAAGAATGATCGTAGCTTGAAGAATTGTGAGTATCAATGCTTTTTGCTTTTTAACCGACTTCAAAAAAGAAAGAGGTTCTCAATTTGACCTCTGTGTGTATATGTTTGTTTATCTGCAATCGTCTTGCGATCAGCTGACACTATTGATGCGGTTTTTAACCGACTTCCAAAAAAAGGAGGAGGTTATCAATTCGGCTGTATGTTTTTTTTTTGTGTGTGTATGTTACGCGACTACTCCGACGTTTGTGGACGGATTTTGTGATGATTCTTTTTTTCAGTAAAGTGTTTGTTACACTTTTTTTTTAAGGGGGAACATCGGCCAATGTCTTCTCTCGCCCGGTTGAAGCGAGAGGGAGTGTCAGACTCTTACTGACTAAAATCACCGCGTTCCTACTTCTTTTAAGTCCTCCGCAGCTCATGTTTGCTGCACTTAAGAGAATGTTTTAACATAACATAACATCACGCCTTTTATCCCCGAAGGGGTAGGCAGAGGTGCACATTATACCACTGTACAATGTAACACCCACTTTTCTCTATATATGTTATGAGTCCCATGTAATAGGGGGTGAGCCTATTGCCATATACCGGGCACAATTCCAGACTCCGTGCTACTACTGAGAATATTTAAAAACCCAGTAATACTTTGCCCGACCCGGGAATCGAACCCGAGACTCCTTGCCCGGCAGTCGCACTTACGACCACTCGGCCAACTGTTTCTTGTTCTATATTTATAAACAATTTTAAGCTTATTGTGAACTTTTACTACTTTCATCTCTGCACTGCTTAAAGGTTGACTGGGAGACAATGCCCAAGGCATTAAGTCCACCTGTACACACTTGTTGTATGAAGTTGAAATAAAATAAATAAAAATAAACTTTTTACTTATTTGTTTTTTTGTTCTAAATCCACTGAATCAGAACAGCAGAGTGTATTTAAACAAATTAATCATTAACTGGCCACTACTCTAGTGTCTTCACTTTATATACAAGGTAATAGTAAGGTTTATTTAAAGCCGCGTCATTTTTTAGGAGGTAACTCTACTATCGATTCTGAGTCCGAATCAATAAAAAAATTATAGGTATTTTTCTTATTATTTAACTTCACGCCGCCGTCTTGTAACTAGCTTTATAACGCGGCTCAACACACACAAACTCAAACAATTGATATTATTCCTAATTCCATAAAACCACAATAATATACATTGCTGTCGCTTATTCTGAAAAACTGTCGAACTTAAACGATTTATTATAGCTGTATTTTTAACCATTGGCCTGAAACTTGAACCTTTATGACTTCTGTGACATGCCTCCGAGAAATATCACGGCTTCAAAACTACACCTTGTATATACGGTTTATTGCCTATGAAAGATTTTCATGACCAATTTCCTCTCAGTCGAAAACCCACAAAATACTTCACTGAGCCCTATAATGAAATGCTATGTTAGTCAACTGCGGCTCCAGTAGCGGATTGAGTAGCGGCACTCGTCAAAACATGTAAAAAACATTTTTCTGTCGCCTTTTCCCGACTAGCAACTACATATTATAACTACAGTTAGCATAACATTTTGTAGAAATATATTGTCAAAAGTGATGGATTATATTTCGACTGATCACATAAATATGAAAATATTGTGCCCTCATCTGACGAATAGTCCATCACTTCACAGCCAATGGATGATGCCCTTTCTTCAAAAGATAACGCTAACTATAAAGTAGATTAGTTTCCAATCAGGAGTAAATGGCTAAAACAATAGTACTTTGTTAGATGTTTGGGTGGCCGTCACTACTCAACCCACCATTGGTACCGCAGCTGATGCTCACGTACGATCATGACACAGCTCCTTGAAGCATCCCACAAATTATCGACTGAGAGAAAATAGGTGACAAAAATTAGTGCCTGGCATCATCCATATTGTGGTGTGATATGGTGTACCTGACTGAGCCAGGCGTATAGTGGCGCGTAGTGTCTGGAAATGTGATAAAAATATTAATAATTTGAATAAAAATAGCAATATAAAATGTTCGACTTTAACTCCTTTCAACGCTCATAACGTCCGGACTGAGATTTTGATATATGTGACCATAGAAATCGTTTGTAATGTCATTCTAGATAATATTTTTCATTAATCATCTAATTGTCGCCAGAAAAACAGAAAGGCACCAATTTTAATCAACGCCCTGTGACAAATCGGTTCGACGTAGCATTTAAACTAACTCGTTGCCTTTACCTTTAGGTATCCACTCGTAAAGGAGGCCATACACGTTAGGTTATGCATGATGGTTATAACTTTGCATGCAGGGATGGGAGTATAAAAACCCACGGCCGCGCGAGCGCCGCGCTTCCTCATCCACACACTCCGCTAACTCACGCCAAAGCTTTCGGGCATTTATTTGCGTCAGTGCGCGCCGGTCTTGATCCTGATTTGTGAATAAACCTACTTAATGAGCAGTCTCCTGTTTTAATTTAAAATAACCCGACAGAACTACGACAACCATCATGCAAAACTTAGCGTGTATGGCCTCCTTCAGTTGCCGCCGAGCTTCACTGATACACGGACGGACAATTCAATTTTGACGTATCAAAATCAAAAGTGCATCTAATTAAGTATTACTTAAAATAAATGCTTTGACTTATGGTGACGACCAAAATATGATATATGATAGGTGCATCCAAAATTTAAGAGAAGTTGATGAAGACTGGAATTCTTTACTTATTTTTTTTCTAAAATCGGGTTACTCACGTCTAGACGTTATGTGTATGTGTTTAGGACAGACGATAAATGAAAACACTTGTACTGTTAAACTCACGTAAATATACCGAGAAAAGCTCTACTAGTTTTAGCCACAGAGGGGCTTCTTCATGAAGGAGCAGCTTTGGTTGCCAGTCTACCGGTTACTCGTTTAATTGTGTTGGCTGGTACCGCCAGTAGACGCTATTAAGTCCTTAAAGGTTTCCTTCAAAATGCGTCTATAAGCGTATGTCGCCTTTGCAGGGTCCCTCCGCGCGCTGTACGCGGCCGTGGCGGCCCGCGGCGGGTACGAGGCAGTGTGTCGCCTGCGGCTGTGGAGGGAACTCGCCAGGGAGCAACCCGCGCGGACACGGAGACATTACGAGAGGTCGCTACTGGACTTATACATTCACACATGACAATTAAATGAACAAACCGACTCAACCCGATTCACTTGCAGGTTCCTCCTCCCCTTCGAGAACCACGAGCGAAACAACGGCATCTCCCTCTCTTACAAACAAAATGGCCAACTAGACGAACCACACACCATCGCCACCATTGACGTCACCGACTCCCCCCTCAGAGACGATGACGTCAAGATACTTCGCACCCCTTCCCCCAAAGTGGAACACGACAACATCGGAAAACAGGACATAGACTGCGAGACAGGCGAAATAAATTCCAAAGACGATATAATAGTCAAAAACGCTGAAGAATTGAATCGCGAATTTCTTGATTCGTTGCCTAAAGAAGAAAAGTTGGTGAAGATATCAGTCAAGCCGGTCGAGAAGTTGATAGAGCCCTCGGTGAAGGTGTCCGAGGGGGAGGGGCAGAAGGAGGGGAAGGACTTTAGCCAGAACTACTTGAATGACTTACAGAAATATAGTATGGGTGAGTGTGGACTGTATTGTATTTTTCAAAAGATTATCTTCGCCTTGGTACGACAACCCAGCATCACTGACAGACAGACTGACGGACAATTCAATTCAGACGGATCACCTGATGGTAAGCAATCGCCGTCCATGCACACCCACGACACGAGAGAAGTTACCAGTGCGAGACACAGAAAGAATTACTCAAATCGGACCAGTATGGATCCAGAGATCAGCGACCAACTGTTGAGCCGTATATATAACAGTGTAAGATGTATTGTGTGTACTATGTACAGGGGCGGACATGTCCCGCGCGGCGCCACTGAACGGTCACGCCGGGCCTGCTCCTACCGACTTGGTGAGTCACTGACACGAGTTACATTACATCGCTACTACTTTCGACGCAACAACTACATTTAGTACATAGAAGTGACGTCACGCGACATTTCAAATCAATATATCGTCGAAGTATTTGTTTCTGTAAGAAAATAAAAAATACGTGTGTAATGTTTTAAAATAATCTATCAGACGGACAATTCTCAAAAGTAGTTCATGACTATGAGTCCCTCGCGTGGCTCGAGACTACATAGTCGAGTTCCGCGAGCAAAGCGAATGTTTCTTATTCATTTTATATTCGCGACCGATTGTCGGCAGGACGCCATTTTATTTATCTTTTTGATTCTAACGATATGAGATAGCTGAACAAGCCTGAAGCGTATAGTCGGGTATGCGACACCCGCCGTAAGAAGCTCGATACTTGTTATTATTATTCGTGATGGTGTAGATACGACTGGACGAGCTATGCGTGTCCAGTATAAGCTGACCGGGTCCCGTACGGAGAGGCCACACAGAGCGAGACATTGACATACTGGATCTTGTAGCTCGCTATACAACGCCAAGCGATGGTCGACACGACAAACGTTACTATCCACAAATCCACTGTAAAATAATTGTGTTCTAAATATTAGCTGAATTCGTAGTTATAAGTGTTAAACGTCTCGCTTACTTCAGGATTCGAGGCTTGGAAACGGATGGGTGACCGGATAATGTTGAAGAAGTCGAGTTACTAATCCTGATGTAATGTGAGGCGATAAGAAACAACTTCTGAATTGGAACCTTTTTAAATTGGGGTAGGCAGGGACACCTGGTGAAATTAACTTATGTATATACAGAGTTCATCAATATCTGTTCAGTCGTTTTCGAGTTCAAATAAATTGGTGTAATGTAAACGCGATATTTGTTATGCTCAGGAATCGAACCCTGTATGGTGATATTTGAAAGTTGTTTCGATCTATACGGTTCCCGACTAGGTTAATATTAATAATTGTCTTCGCAATTTGTAAATATATTATTAATAATTGCAATGTTTGTGCGAAAAGCGTACAAAAATAAAATTATTAAAATTTTCATAATGCGTTTTTATTACTTCTCCAGTGTCGTGGGTGTGTCACACCCGGAAGAACAATTTGTGGGTCATGATCATCATCATCAATAGGCCGTGACCAGGTTTGCCAGAATCTCCCCTCTTGGTGACGAGTTGGTCAAAGTCAAAGTCAAAGTCAAAATTATTTATTTCAATTAGACCAGGGAGGCACTTTTGAAAGTCAAAAACAAAATAGTTAAATATTAAATATTTGATAATAATGTGAGCCACTAGTCCCTTAGCCGGGTATACCACACCCGCGGGAAGAGTGGCGGTGGTGACGAGATATATTGTACGCTGCTGTCATGACATTCACCAAGTTATCGATAAACTTAAAATATGAAACATCCTGTCCTATTAATGTTGTCGACCGACCTGAACCATCTCGTAACTAAGAGTCACCTAGCGTGACGTATCACCTAGTACCTAACCCATTACCTGTACCGCTAGGTGTCACTCGTAAGTCGATGAAGCCAGAATATCGTCGTCATGTATCGTAGCTTCTAGCTGTAGTATGTATCTAGCTAAGAACCCATTTGAGAGAAGTTGATGAAGACTCACGTGAGTATACTGAGACACTCTACTAGTTGGAGCCACAGAGGGGCTCGTCTCCACGAAGCCGCAGCTCTGGGGCAGTCGCCAGTGCGTCCTTGCAGATGTCCCGTACAGCAGCGCCTACAATGACGTACGTCGCAAGGCCCCTCCGCGCGCCGTACGCGGCCGTGGCGGCCCGCGGCGGGTACGAGGCAGTGTGTCGCCTGCGGCTGTGGAGGGAACTCGCCAGGGAGCAACCCGCGCGGACACGGAGACATTACGAGAGGTCGCTACTGGACTTATACATTCACACATGACAATTAAATGAACAAACCGACTCAACACGATTCACTTGCAGGTTCCTCCTCCCCTTCGAGAACCACGAGCGAAACAACGGCATCTCCCTCTCTTACAAACAAAATGGCCAACTAGACGAACCACACACCATCGCCACCATTGACGTCACCGACTCCCCCCTCAGAGACGATGACGTCAAGATACTTCGCACCCCTTCCCCCAAAGTGGAACACGACAACATCGGAAAACAGGACATAGACTGCGAGACAGGCGAAATAAATTCCAAAGACGATATAATAGTCAAAAACGCTGAAGAATTGAATCGCGAATTTCTTGATTCGTTGCCTAAAGAAGAAAAGTTGGTGAAGATATCTGTCAAGCCGGTCGAGAAGTTGATAGAGCCCTCGGTGAAGGTGTCCGAGGGGGAGGGGCAGAAAGAGGGGAAGGACTTTAGTCAGAACTACTTGAATGACTTACAGAAATATAGTATGGGTGAGTGTGGACTGTATTGTATTATTTCAAAAGATTATCTACGCTTTGGAACGAACACCCAGCGTCACTGACAGACAGACAGACTGACGGACAATTCAATTCAGACGAAACACCTGATGGTAAGCAATCGCCGTCCATGGACACCCGCGACACGGGAGGAGTTACCAGTGCGTGACACAGAAAGAATTACTCAAATCGGACCAGTATGGTTCCAGAGATCAGCGACCAACTGTTGAGCCGTATATATAACAGTGTAAGATGTATTGTGTGTACTATGTACAGGGGCGGACATGTCCCGCGCGGCGCCACTGAACGGTCACGCCGGGCCTGCTCCTACCGACTTGGTGAGTCACTGACACGAGTTACATTACATCGCTACTACTTTCGACGCAACAACTACATTCTTTAATTGAAAACTGCATTAAATCCAATAGTTGTAGCCATTTACACTCGTAGCATACTCACACAGACAGATGCACGCGCAAATATATTGTTTTCATTTTTGTAGTTCTACTGAGAAACCGATAGAAAGACAAAATCAAAATACTCATGTCTTCGAATGATCTAGCTAGGTCACTTCGACAAACACTTTCGAAAGTGCCTTTTGAATCTTCATGAAGGCACTGTCTGAAGTGTGTTTCTGTCAGTCGATCCTACTACGTTATAAAGTATCATTGTTAGCTCAAGAAAAGTGGGTGTTACATTATACAGTGGCATAAGGTGCACCTCTGCCTACTCCTTCGGGGATAAGAGGCGTGATGTTATGATGTTAGCTCAATGTATGTTTAAAAAGATCATCAACAGCCCCACAGTCCAGTAGTGGACTATGTCTTCTTCATCAGAAGCCGACTATTAACAAATATTTTTCCATATATTAAAGAAGGGCCAAATTAAAAGTACCCTTAACCGATGAGCATGCATGAAAAGACTGATGACTGTTGAAAAAGCGAAAGAGGTATGTGAGAAGTGTAGCAATTGGCGGTCCATAGTCTCTGCCTACCCCCATATATTAGTCCCCGAATGGTTGACATGATCCTCGTGTCTGGTTCCAGAAGGTATCCCGTCCAGCAGGCCGTAGTTCCCTGCGCGCCGTCCGAGTCAAACCGACCAGACCTCACACACACGCGCCCGCGCATACACGTGAGTATCTACTAGCTACTGCCGCGCTCTGCTCGGCTCCTATTGATCGGTTTATAGCCTATTGTACTCCTCGATAAATGGACTATCCAGCAATAAAATAATTTTTCAAATCGGTTCAGTATTTACTGAGATTAGCTCGATCAAACAAGAAAACAAACTATGTAAAACATTTCGCACTTAAATCCCTGTCCCCACAAAGACCTGCAGTACACTAGTGGCTCCTCTAGTGTCACTGTCCATGCGGGCGTCGATTGCTTACCATCAGGTGATCCGACTGTCACCGGTCGATGCCATACGAAAGTGTAGTAAGGTAGTGTACAGTACCAATATGTATGTATCGTCGTTCCAGCGCCAGTTCCCCCGTCGAGTGAGAACATGTCCGCGGGCGCAGGGCGCGGTCCGAGGACTAACTTCGGTATACAACACCCACACACTAACTCTGTGCAGGATGATGATATCGTCGAGGTAAGCACAGACATACAGACATAATTATACTTCTTAGACTGACGTAAACAGTTTTTGCGCAAACTGTTTGCGCTAATATGCGCAAGTTTGTAATCTTTTTGCGCATGTTAACGTATTGTTCAGTTGTACAAGAGGGTCATATGAAATCGATATTTACTAGCATTACATTTCCGTAATTAATCATTAATTAATATATACCCCAAACAAATATTCATATCACATTCTGTAAGATAAATACAGTAATGAGATGCCAGCAGCAGTTTATATTTTCTCAATTCTACCAAAAAATATCAATCTTGTCAATTAAAATCTCAATTCTCAAAAATTTTAAACTTTTTAAAAGACAAATCTCTAATATGACAATATCTTGCTGTTGCAGGTCCCATACAAACCGAAGACGCCAGAAATCATCGATTTAGACGAATACCCGGAGAGTCCCCAAGCTGTGAAGAAGAAGAAACTGGACATACTCAAGGAAAGGGGCCTAGAGGTCACTGCCCTCCCCCCCTGGCAAGGGGTCGACCCCCACATGATGCCCCCTCCCATCATACTCAACCCCACTGTACAACATCAGATCATGACGCAAGCACAACTGTTTCATATGTACAATATTATACCAAACTACGCCAACGGGGTCCAACCCCCAAAGGTGATCCAAGCGTCCTCAATATTCGGTAACACGGGGCCTGAGAAAACTGTGTACGGGAACCCCAAAGACCCCTTCATGCCGCCCCCTCATGTCTTACACGGAGCCCCCGTCAAACCTCTAAGAGCACCCCCCACCCAACCAACCCCCCAAGACATCCTAGACCTGACTTGCAAATCCACAAGCCCGTCACCTCCAAAGCCAGCCGTGGAGATTGTAAGAGTCCCCCCATCCCCATCTCCAAACCACACCCCGCAAAATCTAACGAAAAACTACACTTTGGTCGACGGCAAAGCGGTTGTAGGATCCAATTTAGAAATCACTTTAGTGAATAAAGCGTCAAGTCCTAGCAAGAACAGACCGCCGCAGAAGCGGTCGAGTAATGGCAAGTTCATGTCTGCTAAGACTCCAACGCCACCTAAGGAGAGCTATCCTAAATATACGCCCCCTAGTAGTACAAAGAAAGCAGCCATCAACATACCCAGTTACCAAGTCAGGGATGACTCGCCCACAGGCCATTCTCACAATCAGAATCATAACTTGGCCCAGCTAACGGAGTTACAGAAGAATTCAGTTCCAATGTCGTCTTTTATGGAGCCCTATATGGCCCTCTATAGTAGCTTGGGGCCTATGGATCAGCGCCAGCTCGCGTATCTAATGAGTAACCAGCTTCGATACCCGAGTCTGTTAAATCTAGGTGTCGCTACCCCTACAACGAAGAATTGAGTCTAGTCCTAGGTTAACGAGGTGACTTACTGATAGATATTACACTTTAAGTGGCGGCGCGTTAAGGTATACTTGATTTTGTACTTTATTTCTTAAGGGATTGAGTTCAATGCGCTTAATCATGTTCAGTTCAGTTGCAATGTCCTACTCCACATACATACATACATACATACATACATACATACATACATACATACTTGTAAACAACACTATATTCTTTGTTTCCGAGTTTCTCGCCAACAGACGAGCAGTAAGACCGACGTTTTAAGTATACCTTAACGTGCACACCGACTGGATAAACAATTGGCATTTTTGGGGACATTTTTGACTTTTTGTATACGAATATTTTTGACTGTTAATTTACTTTAGGGGGTTGCCGCAACGCTCCAAGTATTGTAAAGAATAGTTATTTCAAAATCCCCTATTAGACGAAACTGCCATTTTTGATATAGAGAAAAGACTAAAGTTGACTAAATATATGATAAACAAGTAATACATAAACATTTGTTACATGGTTTCAAATTGTACCAATCAAGCGCTGTCCATAATGGAGGTAGTCGTGGAAACAATTAGATTATATTGTATGGTCATCGAGATTAAGAGTGTGTACCAAATATCAGATCGATCTGTCGCCAAGAAGGGGGTGACATTACAATTACTACAGACCCAGACAAACACACGGGGCAAGCTAAATGAAACCGTTTGTTGATAAAATCAGTATCCTACATGGTCAGCGACACTCGCGCTGGCTCCAGTACTGCAGGTGTACTGGGACTAGTGTCTGCTCCCTGCCAGGACAAATGGAAGCTCTGTAGAAACTGACACTGCACTCGGGGGCAAGGAGATGGCGCCACTAGCGTACAATATTCCCTGATACAAGTATTTTATTGATAGGTGACGTATGTCGTATGAAGGACAATTTAGTTACCTTTACAATGAGAGCATTTTGTTGTAAAAGGAATAATTGTTTCTCAAAGTTACAGAGAAGTTCGATAAATGAATAAACACGCTAGTGGCTCCGATTGTTTGCTCCCGAGTGTAGTATAAAACACAAACCTCCTCTGTCATAGCATCCAATATGGATACTGTTAATAGTAAATTGAACTTGTGTAGATACCAGCATATGAAAGTACTACAAATTGACAAAATTCTGCCGAAAATGTTACGATTTTTGCTACAGACTCCACGCTTGGGTTGGAGGTCGCAGTATACAAGGTTCAGGTGTATCAGAGAGCGCTGCTGGCCGGTCTCTGTTAGATATGCAGTCTCTTGGTCGGGTACACGACACCCGCGGTAAGAGCAGCAGTGGTGTCAACAATAAAGCTTAGAATCTTGAAAAACTTGCTGTAGTTTCATCTGCTGGTGTTTAAAAACAAATTGTAATATTTCGAGTCACCGAAATGATCTCCGGATGTAATTGTATAATTATAACTGTAATATATAAATTGAAAATGAAAAGTTAATGTGGGAACAATGAAACACTTGTTTCGTTTATATATATAATTATATAAAAATACGTCGTGTAAATATTTCTTTATATATAAGTCACTATTTCTATGTATAATGTCTGTAGTTATAAATTCTAATTATAAATTGCAAATTTCCTGTGGATAGTAATGTTTGTGAGTTGACTGCTAAGCCCCTACGCATCGTAGCGTGATGTTTTACAGGTTAAAACATTCCTGAAATATACAGCTGTAACATACAAAAAGAATTTTTGAAAAATATTCAGTAGATTTAAAGATATTTATTTTATTGTTTTATTGCTTTATTAAAAAATTGATTTGTTTATGTTGATTTTCTCCTATTATTTATAGTTGTGTTAAGTATGCATATATTCATGTATTTTGTCGTATAATAAAACAATACTTAGATAAAACGAATCAAAGTTTACGAGTGGGAGCTCGCTACGTCATTTCTACGTATAAAACGTTCTTCCCATATCCGTCTTCTCCAATGTCCCACTCATCGCACTGACTTCTTTCATTCTTCGTGCAGGCAGTTTTGCTGTGGAATGCGCTCCCCCTGGATGTCAGGATGGTGTCGACTCGTCTAACATTTAGGCAGAAAGTACGTGAGCTTCTCTTGGAGAGGTTGGCTGAATCATCACGCTAATTATTTACAGAGTATTAGTAATTATGGTAGTCTTCGATTATATTATTGCGAAATATTAATCCACCAAAACTGTGTAACGGAACCAGATTGGCAGTGAAAAAGTTATTGCCAAATTTGATTGAAGCTACGATCTTAACTGGTAAATCAAAAGGAGAAGTTGTTTTGATACCGCGTATACCTATGATTCCAACTGATATGCCTTTTGAGTTCAAACGTTTACAATATCCTGTGCGTTTATCATTTGCGATGTCCATCAACAAGGCCCAAGGTCAAACACTTCACGTTTGTGGTGTGAATTTGGAGGAACATTGTTTTTCACATGGCCAGTTATATGTTGCCTGTTCCAGAGTCGGTACCCCCAGCCGTTTGTTTATTTATGCTCAAAATGGAAAAACAAAAAATATTGTTTATCCAAATGTTTTGGATTAAGTGTGTTGTAAATAGCTAGCAATTGATTTCGATTTTAAATAAAATATTTTTTTGATTAAATAAATGAATTTGATGTTCCGATTTGTTTATTTTATTTCACTTTATACGTAGCGAAGCACGTACCGGGCCGCTAGTTATATATAAGTCACTATTTCTATGTATAATGTCTGTAGTTATAAATTCTAATTATAAATTGCAAATTTCCTGTGGATAGTAATGTTTGTGAGCTGACTGCTAAGCCTCTACGCGTCATAGCGTGATGTTTCACAGGTTAAAACGTTCCTGAAATATACAGCTAAAGCTAACATACAAAAAGAATTTTTGAAAAATATTCAGTAGATTTAAAGATATTTAATTTATTGTTTTATTAAAAAAATGATTTGTTTCTGTTGATTTTCTCCTAATATTTATAGTTGTGTTAAGTATGCATATATTCATGTATTTTGTCGTATAAGAAAACAATACTTAGATAAAACGAAACAAAGTTTACGAGTGGGAGCTAGCTACGTCATTTCTACATATAAAACGTTCTTCCCATAACCGTCTTCTCCAATGTCCCACTCATCGCACTGACTTCCTTCATTCTTCCTGTTTCGTGCAGGTTATATACTACTAGCTATTACCCGCGGCTTCGCTCGCGTCACAAAAGGATAAAAAGTAGCCTACGTGACATATACCAATACACACAGTGCCATCTACACCAATACTTTTGTTTTCCCTCGGAAATATCAATATTTTCCGGGATAAAAAGTACCTTATTATTTAATCTGGACTTCTAACTTTACGTCTGCAAAAAATCAAACCAATCGGTTTAGTAGTTACGGCGTGAAAGCGGAACAAACAAACTCACTTTCCGATTTATAATATTAGTAAGGATGAGTCTATGTATGTATGTATGTATGTATATTGTATTGTACTCGTGTGTAGGTATATATATTATTATTATATTTATTTATGTTCGTATCTGAAATATGTTAGTATAATCTTCTATTTTCTCAATTAAATCGTTGCATGCTTCTTGCTCCTACCATTCACTCTTCTCTGCATCACCCAAAGGTCAGACTGGGAGAAAATGCATGCGGCATTAAGTCCACCTTGTGTACACTTTGTGCATGAAGCGTTAATAAATAAATAAAAAACGTACATAGAAGTGACGTCACGCGACATTTCAAATCAATATATCGTCGAAGTATTTGTTTCTGTAAGAAAATAAAAAATACGTGTGTAATGTTTTAAAATAATCTACCAGACGGACAATTCTCAAAAGTAGTTCATGACTATGAGTCCCTCGCGTGGCTCGAGACTACATAGTCGAGTTCCGCGAGCAAAGCGAATGTTCCTTATTAATTTTATATTCGCGACCGATTGTCGGCAGGACGCCATTTTATTTATCTTTTTGATTCTAATGATATGAGATAGCTGAACAAGCCTGAAGCGTATAGTCGGGTATACGACACCCGCCGTAAGAAGCTCAATACTTGTTATTATTGTTCGTGTTTGTGTAGATACGACTGGACGAGCTATGCGTGTCCAGTATAAGCTGACCGGGTCCCGTACGGAGAGGCCACACAGAGCGAGACATTGACATACTGGATCTTGTAGCTCGCTATACAACGCCAAGCGATGGTCGACACGACAAACGTTACTATCCACAAATCCACTGTAAAATAATTGTGTTCTAAATATTAGCTGAATTCGTAGTTATAAGTGTTAAACGTCTCGCTTACTTCAGGATTCGAGGCTTGGAAACGGATGGGTGACCGGATAATGTTGAAGTAGTCGAGTTACTAGTCCTGATGTAATGTGAGGCGATAAGAAACAACTTCTGAATTGGAACCTTTTTAAATTGGGGTAGGCAGGGACACCTGGTGAAATTAACTTATGTATATACCGAGTTCATGGAAATATGTTCAGTCGTTTCCGAGTTCAAATAAATTGGTGTAATGTAAACACGATATTTGTTATGCTCAGGAATCGAACCCTGTATGGTGATATTTGAAAGTTGTTTCGATCTATACGGTTCCCGACTAGGTTAATATTAATAATTGTCTTCGCAATTTGTAAATATATTATTAATAATTGCAATGTTTGTGCGAAAAGCGTACAAAAATAAAATTATTAAAATTTTCATAATGTGTTTTATTACTTCTCCAGTGTCGTGGGTGTGTCAAACCCGGACGAACAATTTGTGAGTCATCATCATCATCATCAATAGGCCGTGACCATGTTCTCCCAGAATCTCTCCTCTCGGTGAACGAGTCGGTCAAAGTCAAAGTCCCGCGCCGCCGCCGCCGCCGCCCCGCTGCCCACAAAATTCGAGGCAGAGGCCTAACTGGTTACCGGGGCTCCGGCTCGACGTGCAGGAGGGGTAACGAGGTGGTTTTTAGTCAGTAAGAGTCTGACACTCCCTCCCGCCTCACCCAGGCGGGAGCAGTCATTCGATGATTACCCCCCTCAAAAAAAAAGACTAGAATATTTACGTGAGTACCTCGTTATTTTAAGTTAATTCAGTCTGACTCACGATAGTTATCACAAGTAACATTAGCAAAATAAAACAGAAATAATTTTAAAACGACTTTATTTTTATCTTAGACTTATATTACCATACACAAATGCGTATATTATACCTCTATACACCGTGAAATCTATGTCGTTTTTGTCCTGAAGTGAAATGGTTCTGTCTCGGCAATACAATAGTTTTACAAACAAATAAAAACAACTGGTGAACCATTGCAAGAAGCAAACTTCGAGAGCGCACGAACTCATAGTACCTACATTATTATTCGCGGAGAACCTAACTGGTTGCTGGGTTCAGGCTCGACGTGCAGAAGAAGGAACGGGGTGGTTTTTAGTCAGTAAGAGTCTGACACTCCCTCCCGCCTCACCCAGGCGGGAGCAGTCATTCGATGATTTTCCCCTCTTAAAAAAAAAGTACCTACATTATAGAGCCGCCTATATCAGTTCTTCCCGTCCGTACATGACCGGCTGGAGAGGACATGGTTGGAGGTGGATCACTGTGTTGCCCAATTCCTTACTGGCCACGGAAACTTTAAAATCAAATTGTACTCATTTACTGCCTCGTTGGCCGAGTGGTCGCGGGCAAGGGGTCTCGGGTTCGATTCCCGGGTCAGACAAAGTATTACCGGGTTTTGAAAATACTCAGTACTAGCACAGAGTCTGGAATTGTGCCCGGTATATGGCAATAAGCTCACCCCCTATTACATGGGACTCATAAAATAAATAGTGGAAAGTGGGTGTTACATTGTACAGTGGCATAATGTGCACCTCTGCCTACCCCTTCAGGGATGAAAGGCGTGATGTTATGTATGTTCTCATTTAAACCTATTGATTCACCATGGTGCCAATGTTCGACAGAGGAGTTGCGATACGAGCAGTCGGCCCATCACATACTCTGGGAGTGTGATCTCTGGCAATATGAACGTAACACTATGTTAAATAATTTAATTGTTTCGTCAGGTGTAGCTTATTATACGGACCTTGTGGAATCTAGAACGAATTTCCGTGCGTTTAGGCGTTTTTGCCATACCTATTATTGGAAGCAAGTATAACAGCTCACACATAGGACCCACTTAGTTTTTAGTCAAATTTCCGTGGTGCTTGGCGACTGGGCTTCACCCAGTTGTACAGTCTCTTCTTTGTGCCTTTAGGCTTAATTCATTCTGTCTCCTGCAGTAATTCACCGAGGGAAGTGGAAACTATCGTTTTTTTTCTTCTCCTCTTATAATATCTTCTGATTCACTTCGTTGCGGGAACCAAGACAGTTATTCATGTCCCTGGGACGCGCCGGACTTCAGTGTTCCGGTGTTTTCATGGTTGTATCTACTGTAGATCCTGGCTTACAGGAGTTGCAGCGGTTTCGGGAGGTTGTGGCGGGCTTGTCCCAAAAAAAAGTACGTACATCATCAAAACATCACGCCATGTATTTCTCTATGGGTGCACGTGCGATGCGAGTAGTGACTACAAATGTACGTCTAGTGTCTCATGGACGTACTTCTATACATTTCATCTTTATATTTTTGTTTTTACTTTATACTAGAAAGTACTCGTTATGGCGAGTTGTATTGCCGCGGAACGGAAACGACATAGATGTCACGGTGTATAATATCAGGATATTAAATACAGTTATTTTCGTTTAGACTGAGGTAAACATATATAATTAATTTTAACAAGTTTTGTATCAATAATGTCTGCAATATTTCATATTTTTATATAAGAACTGTCATTAAACATGTTAAATTTAAATACCATTCATTCAGTCATGTTTATAAGCTCCGACATAGCTCGAAACCAGTCGAGTCATACTCGAAATCTTTACAAAACTTGTATATCTTACTGAACGGCTGAAGGGATCGGGATGCAATTTGGAAAAAGGATAGATTATGGTCTGGAATAACACATAGGCTACTTTGTATGCCACGGGAACGCAGGTGAAGCCGCTGGCAGAAGCTAGTTCATCATTAGTTATCTACGCGAGATCTGGTGCCCACAGTTTGAAGGTCCTGTCATATGAGCTGGTCGCTATGTACTTGTTGTCGTATGATATGTCAGCGCTCATCACCTGAAACAAACATACATGTTTATTATATTATATAGTAATATATTTACGTCTCTTGGAATTAGGTACTTTCCTTATTCAAACATAAATTATTTCGACTGTTCAATACAACTGAATATTAAAAAATAATCACACTTTCATCAATTGATTTATGACCAACTTCATTTTAGTATTTTTCCAGCAAATTTTTAACAAATAACTATGCTGTTTGGCGCTAAAAAACCGTCACAATACACAATCTCGTACAAAATTCATAGAAGACTGTCGTTTTTGACAGTTCGTAAAAAGTATTGAATTTGACTAGTTAGCGAGTACCGAATGATAAGGGATATAATAAAGGGTTCAAGTCAGATACAAAATGAAAAAAAAAATGCATTTAACTCGTCGAGTACCGTCATTATAGACACAATTATAGAACAATAGGTTGCGGTCACCGGTGACCGCTTGGTGTTTGACAGTTTAAAAGTGAATGTTTCACTTAATACTATAAAGTTTGCGCGGCTAACTGCACGGTTGACACCGCGCCAACCTTGGCTGGTTGAGCAACACGTCGCGGGTTCGATTCCCACACGGAGCAACTCTTTGTGTGCTCCACAGATTGTATTTCCGTGTCTGTGTCATTGTGTATGTGAACTTGTGGGGCAACGTTAGAAACAAAGACGGACCCAAATTAGGGTATAAATGCCAAATCTACTTATATTGGAGATCACATTATAAAAAGTTAAACTACTTCAGAAATGTATCATATATTATTACACCCACGTGAAGAATAGAGGTGGTAAAACTAAAACATTTATTATACATTGCCGTCACCAGAATCAAACTGTAATATATTTTGCCAAAGCAATATATACCTTATTGTCATGTCCGGAGAGTGTGCGCAGTGGATGCCAGGCAGGGTTGGACCAGAGCTTGGCAGTCTTGTCGTACGATGACGTTAGGAGGAAGTGACCGTGGCTCTTCTGGTATCTGACATCTGAAAATTAATTTAAAATATTTTTATACAGCATAACGCCTTTTATCCCCGAAAGGGTAGGCAGAGGTGCACATTATACCACTGTACAATGTAACACCCACTTTTCGATATGAGTCCCATGTAATAGGGGGTGAGCCTATTGCCATATACCGGGCACAATTCCAGACTCCGTGCTACTACTGAGAATATTTAAAAACCCAGTAATAGTTTGCCCGACCCGGGAATCGAAACCGAGACCCCTTGCCCGGCAGTCGCACTTATGACCACTCGGCCAACGAGGCAGTCAACATACAAGTTGTGATATCAATACATAGTGTAAAACAAAGTCGCTTTCGCTGTATGTCCGTATGTATGCTTAGATCTTTAAAACTACGCAACGGATTTTGATGCGGTTTTTTTTAATAGATAGAGTGGTTCTTAAGGAAGGTTTATATGTATAATACATGCATATTGCACCCGTGCGAAGCCGGGGCGGGTCGCTAGTCATATATAAAACAATGAAGCCTTATTAAAGTTATAAACTAAGAAAAATTCATAATTTTCTGTTCTAATTTTGTAGTGTTTTATTCGTTTACTAGCTTTTACCCGCGGCTTCGCTCGCGTCACAAAAGGATAAAAGTAGCCAATGTGACATATATCAATACACACAGCGCCATCTATACCAATACTTTTGTTTTCCCTCGCGAATATCAAATTTTTCTGGGATAAAAAGTAACCTATTATTTAATCCAGACTTCTTACTTTACGTCTGCAAAAATGCAAAGCAATCAGTTTAGTAGTTACGGCGTGATAGCGGAACAAACAAACAAACAAACTCATTTTCCCATTTATAATATTAGTAAGGATGGTATAAGTCGGTAAACGAGCAGACGGATCACCTGATGGTAAGCAATCCGTCGTCGCCCATAGACACCCGGAACACCAAGGCGTTACAAGTGCATTACCGGCCTACAAATTTGAGGATTGTGGGGAATTCGGGGAATTGTTAGACTGGGGAGGGGGGCCTTACTCACACGAGAAAACACAACTCAACGATTGTGTCACTGTAGTTATCTGCTCGTTGGTATCACTCCGGTGGAGTCGGCCCAGCAGTACTGAAGCATGGCGAGCCAACACTGAGGTTTTAACCATAACAGGCCCTGCTGGGCCGACACCGGAGTGATACCAACGAGCAGAACACCATAGTGAAACAACCACAGCGATGTTGATTTATTTCAATTGTAAGTGACGTTACTGGTGGCCCAATTACCCCTCCCCCTGCGTTCCCCCCTCCCCCTGCGTTCCCCCCTCCCCCTCTTCCCCCCTCCCCCTAATCACCCCAATCCTCTAACTCCTAATAGTAACGCACTTGTAACGCCTCTAATGTTCTAGATGTCAATGGGCGACGCCGATTGCTTACCATCAGGTGATCCGTCTGCTCGTTTACTGGCTTATACCATAAAAAAAGCCGATTCAGAGTCGCGGAGAACCTAACGGGTAACCGGGGCTCCGGCTCGACGTGCAGGAGAAGGAACGGGGTGGTTTTTAGTCAGTAAGAGTCTGACATTCTCTCCCGCCTCACCCAGGCGGGAGCAGCCATTCGATGATTTTCCCCCCATAAAAAAAATACCATAAAAAAACTGATTTCAAAATGAATAATCCCCAATAACAGATTACCTAAGTAAAGAATAATACCCGTCAAACTAATACAATTACTATATCGTTGTACTTACCACTCAACAGATGCGTGTGTGAAGGTATAGTGTATAACGCTGAACGTCTCCTCAAATCCCAGATCTTTGTCTGTGAATAACATAAACATATTAATTTAGTAAGATATTTTAGTCACCTGATAGTAAGCAATCGGCGTCGTCCATGGACACCCTGAACACTGGAGCGTTACAAATTCCATTGGTGAGTTTTTGAAGGGAGGAACAGGTTGCCCTCCCTCATATCATACATCAACAGCCTACAAGTCCCCACTGCTGTCCAAAGCCCTCTTCTCCCACGGAGAAGGTTTGAGCATTAATCACTACGCTTGCTCAATGCGGGTTGGCGATTTCAAACTCATGATTAGAAATGCCGAGTGGTCGCATGTATGACTGCCGGGCAAGGGGTCTCGGATTCGATTTCCGGATCGGGCAGATTATTACTGAATTTTTAAAAAAAATTCTCAGTAGTAGCACGGAGTTTGGAGTTGTGCCCGATATATGGCAATAGGCTCACCTATTACATGGGACTCATAACATAAATAGTGAAAAGAGGGTGTTACATTGTACAGCGGCATTATTGCCGTAATGTGCTCCTCTGCCTACCCCTTCGGGGATAAAAGGGGTGACAATGAATATATAATTAGAAATTATAGGCGCTCACGATGCTTTCCTACGTCGTTTGTCAGTGGTGTCTAAATAATCTTAGAAAGTACATATAACTCGGAAAAAGTCACATTGGTACTTGCCGTTGGTATGTTTCGGACCCGCACCCTCAAGGGGATTCGAGGATTGGGAATTGTATAAAAGATGTTTGTTGAGATACCTGATGGTCTGCGGCGGCGGTGGCGAGCTGGTGTCCGGCGGGGGCCCAGTCGGAGCCCAGCACGGGCCCCAGGTGGCCCTCCAGGAACATCACGCAGCGACCTGTGCGCAGGTCCCACACGCGACCGAAGGCGTCCATACCGCTGTGAAAGGGGGGGAATGTGTTCAAAGGGGGATTCATATTGTAAGTTTTATTTTTTACTAGCTATTTCCTCGGCTCTTTTTGATCATAGCGTGATGTTTTATAGCCTATAAGGGGCCGTCCATAAATTACGTCACACGTTAAGGGGTAGGAGGGGGGGTCGACGAAGTGTGACATTGTGTGACAAGGGGGAGGGGGGATCCTAAACTTTGTGATGTCACATTTCAAAACCTATTATAAAACACGAAATATTATTGTATGAAATGTTTCTTATTTTGTATGATTTGGTATTAACATTTTTTTAAAGTAATTTAAATAGGAATGAAACTGATTTCGGAACCGCTGTTTTCATTCAATAATTTTTATACATACGTAATTCTGCAAAATGTGACGTCATACTTATCCTCACAAATGTGACTAGCTGTGACAAGGGGGGGGGAAGACATCGTGAAATTCGTGAGACGTAATTTATGGATGACCCCTAACCCCTTGCTCGATAAATGCACTAACCAACACAAACTCTCTATAACCGCGCACAAACATTACATACATACATACATACATGTCCAACTGAACTGAGAACCACCTTTTATTAAGTCGGTTAAGAAATAAACATGAACAATGACATATTTTTTTGTGTTTGGTATTATATGTACTTATTTTTGACATAATAATTTGGACAAAACATAACAAAACATACATAACATCACGCCTTTTATCCCCGACGGGATAGGCGCACATTATGCAACTGTACAATGTAACACCCACTTTTCACTATTTATGTTATGAGTTCCATGTAATAAGGGGTGAGCCTATTGCCATATACCGGGCACAACTCCAGACTCCGTGCTACTACTGAGAATTTTTTTAAAAACCCTGTAATACTTTGTCCGACCCGGGAATCGAACCCGAGACCCCTTACCCGGCAGTCGCACTTGCGACCACTCGGCCAACGAGGCAGTCAAAACATGTATTATTTTTCAATAAATTTTGATTAACTCGTCGAGTACCGTCATTATAGACACAATTATAGAACAATAGGTTGCGGTCACCGGTGACCGCGCGGTGTTTGACAGTTTAATTAATATAATTGTATCAAATGAGAATTAAGATTTGCATGGACTTAACTTATTTAATATTTTTACACCAAAAGTGGTAGTATATGTGATTCCATATTTAATGTAAAATTTCAGTGTACCATATACTTAGAAACAATATATCTTTAAAAACCCTGTTGTTTCTGTAGATCAGTAAATATAGTTATAGATGGGAGAGCCATGCTTCGGCACGAATGGGCCGGCTCGACCGAAGTGATACCACGGCCGAGCAGAAAACCGACGTGAAGCAACGCTTGTGTTGTGTTTCGTCGTGTGAGTGAGGTTACCGGAGGCCCAATATTACCTTCCCCTTCTCTAATATCTCAAATTCCTGAATCCTCAACAATTCTCAAATTCCCAATCCCCAAAAAGCCAAGCTTACCATCAGGTGATCCGTCTGCTCGTTTAACGGATTATCGCATAAAATAATCATAGTTACCCTGTAACAGCGAGTGACCCGTCTCCCTGGAAGGCGATGCTGTACACCGGCTTGGCGTGACCTTCCTGGTGCAGTACCTCCGTCGCTGAAACCATACAGGCAAGGCATTGAAAACAGTATTCAAGTGTGGGCTCGCCATGCTTCGGCACTGCTGGGCCGGCTCGACCGGAGTGATACCACCGACGAGCAGAACACCATCGTGACACAACCACAGCGGGGTGTGCAGTCGTGGAAGTGAGGTCACCAAAGGCCCACTTACCCTCCCCCCCCTCCCACGCGATCTGCACAATCTCCGAATCCTCCACAATCCTGAAATCCACATTCCCAGAAGGTCGGTAACGCATTTGGAAGGCCTCTGGTGTTGTGGGTGTTTATTAGCGACGCCAAATGCTTACCATCAGGTGGTACGTCTGCTCGTTTACCGGCTTAAGGCGCAAAAGAAAAATTAAGAGCTAAAATCACGTAAATATAACTCGAGAACCTAAAATCTCGGAATGGTTTCCGAATTACCATTGATTGATTTTAATTTACATACCAAATTATACATAATGTATATACTCGTTCATACTAAAAAAGCAGTACCACTTTCAACTCCCAGGACGGGTGAAGTATTACGGGAGAGTTAAACTTACACTCATCTTCTCATCATCATCATCATCATCATCACTCTCTTTCTCTCACAAAATCCCTTCCATTCTCTTATAAAAACCCATTAAATTATCTTAAAAAACCCATTCTTTCTCACAAATAACACAATATCCTCTTACAAAACCCCATTCATTCTCCGACAAAACCCATTCCATTCTCTTACAAAACCCCTTCCATTCTCTCATATAAACCCATTCTATTTTATTACAAAACCCCTTCCAGTGTCTCAAAAAACCCCATATTTTCTGACACAAAACCTCTTCCTTTCTCTTGATAACTCACCAGTCTCCAGATCCCATAATCTCCAGGAGTGGTCGAAGACAGTGGTGGCGAGGAACCGTCCGGACGGGTGGAACTCCAGCCTGGCCACGCGGGCGGGGCTGTGGCCGTCCAGGGAACATAGCGGAGACTCACTGAACATAGATACATATAATTAGACAAACTTAATACTAGACTGCCTCGTTGGCCGAGTGGTCGCAAGTGCGACTGCCGGGCAAGGGGTCTCGGCTTCGATTCCCGAGTCGAGCAAAGTATTACTGGGTTTTTAAAAGAAAAATCTTAGTAGTAGCACGGTGTCTGGAATTGTGGTAATATTGGGCCCGGTATATGGCTCACCCTCTATTACATGGGACTCATAACATAAATAGTGAAAAGTGGGTGTTACATTGTACAGTGGCATTAAGTGCCGTAATGTGCACCTTTGCCTACCCCTTCGGGAATAAAAAGGCGTGATGTTATGTTATGTTGTATAATACTATCTGGTTGATTATTTTAAAACATTACACACGTATTTTTTATTTTCTCACAGAAACAAATACTTTCGACGATATATTGATTTGAAATATCGCGTGACGTCACTTCTATGTACGTTTTATACGTAGAAATGACGTAGCTAGCTCCCACTCCTAAACTTTGATTCGTTTTATCTAAGTATTGTTTTCTTATACGACAAAATAAAATAATACGTGTCTAATATTTTTTCATTACCTAACTGACGGACTAATTAGATTTTTAATTTTCATACCCTGTCATCATCCGTACTATGAATTTTGGAACATACCTTTTAAAATTCCACAAATATACGGTACCATCGTACGCGCAGGTCGCCATTGTGCAGGCTTCGGAGACTCCGTCAGTCTCCTGCATGGCTACTGTAGTTTCTATAGACTCTGGGACCGGAGTCTCAGTCTCCATCGGAGTTTCGGCGTCTGTTGCTAACTTCTCTTTATCTTCTGCTAACTAGAAGTGAGAAGAGAAGTTTGTGTGTTTGTCTTTATGTTTGTTGCTCAATCACGTCTAAACGGCTGAAGGGATCGAGATGAAATTTGGAACAGGGATAGATTATGGTCTGGAATAACACATAGGCTACTTTTTATCGCATGAGATCGCGAGTGAACCCGGTGGCAGAACTTAGAATAGTTTATTAGGAAAAAGTTATGAAATATTATTATGTTTTTATAATAACCATCGTGATAGATACTGAATTAACTAAAAAAGCACAGTGAGCTGCGCGACGTCGCCGCGACCGCGCACGCTGCTTATGAGGTCTTCCTCAATGTTCTCTAGCTCTACTAGTTACGAACCACAAAGGGGGAAGACCCCCTCTGTGGTTCGAAACCAGTAGAGCTATTCTCAGTATATTCACGTGAGTAACACGCGATTTTAGTTGAAAAAATGGTAACGTCCATTGTATTACATAAAGGTATCCGACACCCAGGGGAAGAGCCCCGGTGGTGATAAATTTATTCTACTCTGACGTCACTAACTTTTTTTTTGAGTGGGGAAAATCATCGAATGACTGCTCCCGCCTGGGTGAGGCGGGAGGGAGTGTCAGACTCTTACTGACTAAAAACTACCCCGTTCCTACTCCTGCACGTCGAGCCGGAGCCCCGGTTACCCGTTAGGTTATCCGCGACTGGACGTCACTACCATAGATATTTGCTCACAATTAGATACTTTTACTTACTTTTCTTTCAAAATGATCAGGCATGGCGGCCGTGGGATGGAAGGCGGCGCCGCTGACGTTACATTTGTGACCCTTCAGTACTTGCAGCGCTGTACACTCGGGGACCGACCATACTTTGGATAGACCTGACCTGGAATCAAGTATTTATTGCATCCATAATGTACATATACAGGTGGTTAGAAAATATAACAGTAACAATTATGGACCCTGTCGGGCACAGCAACATTTATATAACTCACCAGCTAGCTGTGATGAGCATCTTACTGTCGCTGCTGAATCTGCAAAAGCTTATAGGCCGGGTGTCGCCTATCTGGAATGTTCAATTTTGTATATATATTATATTAATGTTACTACATGTTTTTTAATCAGCCTCGTTGCCTGCTGGGCAAGGGGTCTCGGATTCGACATCGGGCAAAGTACTACTGGGTGTTTAAAAAAACATCTCAGTAGTAGCACGGAGTCTGTAAATGTCCCCTATTACATGGGACTCATAACATAAATAGTGAAAAGTGGGTGTTACATTGTACAGTGACGTTAAGTGCCGTAAAGTGGACCTCTGCCTACCCCTTCGGGGTTAAAAGGCATGAAATTATGTTATGTTCTTAAATAAATTCCATTTTTATAATATTCATAAAAATCTGTAAATACCCACTGCTGAGCAAAACCTCTTCTCATAGTTGAGCATTAATCACCACGCTTGCTCAATGCGGGGGCGATTTCAAACTTATAATTACAAATTATAAGCTCAGGTTTCCTCACGATGTTTTCCTTCACCGTTTGTCAGTGGTGTCTAAATAATCTTAGAGAGTACATATAACTCGGAAAGAGTCCCATATAGTAGGTGAGAATGCTATGAACGAGGGTCTGACCTGGCTGCAGTATATAGAGACGGCGGCGGCCTTCCGCTGTGACTCCTGTTTGGCGGCGGCGCGGACACTGCCTGATAACTTCAAGTCTTCGCGGGCTTGGCACAGTCTGCAATGTTAATGATAAAATATCTTAATTTCAATGCCGGGCAAGGTGTCTCGGGTTCGTTTCCCGAGTTGGGCAAAGTATTAATCCTTTCATAGGCGGTAACGTGAGTGAAAATAATTGTACAATATTTTATTTTATTTATTTATATATGCTTTATTGTACACATTTGAGTAGCTTAAAACGAACAATTCAATTAAATATGCGTACAATGGGCGGTCGTATCACACAATGGTGATTTCTTCCAGACAACCTTTGAAGACACCAGATGATAATATGACTTTTGTTATCCTCACCTAAGTTTAGCTTTAGGTAGCGAGTACCTAGCGATCCACAGCCTCGCCTCCCTGAGTTCCGGCGGTCCCTCATGGTACCAGGTTCCCTCCCGTCCTCTGTCCCTTTCTATGCGAGCCTCTTCCTCTTCTAGCTTCTTGTGGATCGCGTCTTCTCCTAGACTGTACAGTTAAAAAAGTACTACATCATATACTAATACTAGCTACTTCCGCGCGGTTTCACACGCTCTGCTCATCTCCTATTGGTCGCAGCGTGATGTTTTATAGCCTATAGCCATCCTCGATAAATGCACTATCCAACACAAAAAAAATTATTCAAAACAGACTTGTAGTTACGGAGATTAGCGCGTTCAAACAAACAAACAAACAAACAAACAAAAAAACAAACTCTTCCGCTTTATACATATAATAGTATAAGATTATAAAGTTTGTGTGTAAGTTTGTGGGCAGAAGCTAGTCCATGAATAAAATGTATTCAGTTAATTGAATTCGTATGTTTTCTTTAAAATCTTTGATTCTGATGCGGCTAACACAGTTTTCTATTGGCAGTCAAAGGTTTAAGCTACTTACTACTTCACACATCGGGTTACATTGTATACATTTTCACACGGTTCCTTTTTTCTCTCTTATTAAATATAGCCTATGATCATCAATAATAATGTAGGATTCCAACGGTAAAATAATATTTCAAATCGACCCGGTAGTTTCGGAGGAGATTCCATTCAAACAAACAAATAAAAAATCAAATTTTTCCTCTTTATTTATACTATCAGTGTAGTATTATTATTATTACTCAATCATATACAAAATGGCTGAAGGGATCGGGGTGAAATATGAAACAGTTGTAGATTCTAGTCTAGAATAACATAAAGGCTACTTTGTATTTCATGAGATCGCGGGCAAAACCGCTAGTAGAAGATAATATGGACTATCTATAATCTATACTTACTAGCTGAGGAGATCTCGCAGCCGCACTCGCCTCTCTGCCGGCCCCTCTCCGAACAGACACACCGGCTCGCCGAGCTGACGGAGACTGCGACGCACCTGGAAATATACGCATATATGTCTGAAGTCGTAAACAAGTTACAGATATTTTTTATATCGGTTTCAATGATCTAGTTAAGGTTCCCCACCCTATAGATATATGTTTTGTCAGCACTAATTCAGCTTAGCAACATAATTAGCACGTATAAAAGTCAGAATTATATAAAACAGGGCTGTCCAAACAAAGGCCCGCAGGCGCATGCGGCCCGCAGCTTGTTTTCTTGAGCCCGCGACACACATTTTAATCATCATCATGGTCTGGAATAACACAAATGCTACTTTTTATCCCACGAGGATGCGAGTAAAGCCGCGGGCAGAAGTTAGTACATACATACATTACAAGTCCTCGAATGCTTACTAACCTCGTCATCATCAGTGGACACGTTGAGCTGTCGAGCCTTGCGTCTCCGCTCAAACTCCTCCAGCAGAGCCTTCTTGTCGCGAGACATCTCCTCTTCCAGCTCCATGTATTCTGTAGATATTCATGACATACATAATTACATAACATAACGCCTTTTATCCCTGAATTGGGTTGGCATGGGTTGGCATGTTGGCACCCCGAAGAGGTGCACATTACGGCATCTTATGCCACTTATGAGTCCCATGTAATAGGGGATGAGCCTATTGCCATATACCGGGCACAATTCCAGACTCCATGCTACTACTGAAATTTTTTAAAAACCAGTAGTACTTTGCCTGATCTGGGAATCGAACTCGAGACCCCTTGTACGGCAGTCGCACTTGCAACCACTCGGCCAATGAGGCAGTCATACACGCATCATACAGATATACATAAATGAGAAGACTATAATAATATTGTATTGTAAATAATATTGTATTATATTGACTATAATATAATTGCAAAACATAAATTGGAATAATATAATCACACAACAACAGAATATTAATGAAAATTATATGGCTTTTAATAATACATTATTAAAAATATTAAATAAATGTATACCACTACGCAAAATAAAATTAAATCAATCATACAAAAGGCATTGGCTAACAACAGGAATAAAAAACTCGTGTAAAAATAAGAGACAACTAAAAATAATAACAACTAAGACAAAAAATCCAATTCTACTTAAATACTATAAAAGCTATGAAAAAATACTAAAAAAATGTATAACTACCTCAAAAAAACTACATTACAAAAACACGATTATGAGATCCGACAATAAAGTTAAGTCAATGTGGAGATTAATAAACGAACGTACAAACAAAAAAATTACAAAAGAAAAACGCAACTTAATTATTGAAAAAGAAAATATATTAACGTCAAATCCCAAAGAAGTTTCTAATATATTTAATCAATTCTTTGCATCAATCGGAAAAATACAAACAATTAACAATGCAACCAACAATTTTCAATCTCTTCTCCTCTCAGAAAGCATAGAAAACAGTATATTCCTAACTCCTGTGAACGCGTATGAAGTAAACCGAATAATAAAAAATTTGAAAAATAAAAAAAGTCACGGAATACATGAACTCCCTCCCATATTATTTAAACAATGTGCGGACGAACTGACGCTTCCATTCTTTAAACTATTAAATCAATCCTTTGAAGAAGGCTGTTTTCCTGATTTATTAAAAACAGCTTTAGTAAAACCCATCCATAAGAAAAATAAAAAATCTGACCCCAACAACTACCGCCCTATAGCTCTTTTACCCACAGCTTCAAAAATATTCGAAAGAGCTATGTGCGATCGGGTATATTCCTATTGCGAAAAATATAAAATATTTAATGACCACCAAAATGGTTTTCGCAAAAACAAATCGACGGTTCTAGCTGTCTACAAATATATTCAGGAAGCCTTGAACATAATTAATGACAAAAAATACGCTGTAGGACTACTGATAGATATGACAAAGGCCTACGACAGAGTTCAGTTTAACATATTATTACAAAAATTATATAATATCGGAATTCGTGGAAAGTGCTATGATTGGTTCGGATCTTATTTAAAAAATCGAGAACAATTAGTAGAAATTGAATATTATAATAACTCAACAAGCGAAATCGAACGAATTCGATCTGACATCGAGCCAATAAACGCTTCAATCCCGCAAGGAAGTGTAATTGGATGCTTCCTATTCCTAATATATATAAATAATTTACCAACATATATCCACGATCCATGTGTCCTATTTGCTGACGACGTGTCTATATTGACTTCTTGTGAAACAAACACCAATGTAAGCGAAAAACTAGGCTCCATTCTTAACATTACTACGAAGTGGATGGCAGAACACAACTTGGAAATAAACCTCAGCAAAACTAAATTAATTGCATTCCACCCTCATCAGAAATCTTCTATTAACATTAATTTTACCTATAACAATTCACAATTAGAAGTCGTTAATAATTTTACCCTACTCGGCATAGATATAGACACGAACATAAATTGGAAAAGTCATGTACAAAAAGTGAAGGCAAAAATATCAAAGTACTCATACGCACTCCGAGAAATAAAAAAGACCACCGATTTAAAAACCGCACTCGTCACCTACTACGCTTACGCTTATGCGTGGCTTAAATATGGTATAATATTATGGGGAAATAGTACAGACTCCCAAACGCTATTCACTCTCCAAAAAAAGTTAATAAGAATTTTAATAAATATCACAGAAACAAACAGTTGCAAACCTCACTTTCAGGAACAAAAAATACTCACCTTACCTTGTATTTATATTTATGAAATGTGCAAATTTGTTCGTAAGTATCCTGAATTCTATTCCACTAGAGAACACACACAATGTAAATTCACACTGAGACATAGAAAAAGACTAAATCTACCAACATCACGATTGAAAATACACTCTTCCGGACCTCTGGTCATGTCAATAAAAATTTACAATAAGTTACCCCAAGAAATAAAAAATGAAGATAAATACAATAGATTTATGATGAAATTAAAACAGTTTCTACTAAATAAGGCCTATTACAGTATTGAAGAGTATTTTAAAGAAAGATTATAACAAACATATATTTATAGGAGCACACTAGTAGTGTATAATACAGTACTGTGTCTACAGATCACAAGTACACAAGGTTAAAGGTACAAATGATTATTTAGTTAATTTAGATGATTTAATTTTTGATGCTCATTAAATTCATCGAAAATGTAAATTTTGACTACTGTCATTTTGAGTTGACATATTATTTTGTGTACTTACTTTGTTTTGATCGATTCAATTTGATTTTGATTATTTTGAGTTTATTTTGATTGTTTTAATCTAATTTTGATTGTTTGAGTTGAATTTGATTGTTTTAATTTGATTTTATATTAATTTGATTTTGATTATTTTGATTTGATTTTAATTATTTGACCTAACAATAATTTTATTTACTTACATATTTTATTTTGATTTTAATATTTTTTATGACCTCTATTATTTTATTTCCTATTGTAACTATTTCATTTTGACTTTTAATTATTTAATTAACTTAAACTCGATAATATGTTACATTTTAATATTAGATATTTGATGATAAATGTCAACTTTATTTAAAAACAAAAATGTTATTTTAAAAAAATGTTAACTTCATTTATCAAATGTTGCTTGTGCCCTTACGGGGTCCATAAATGTATCTTAGCTTTAAGCGTATATTGTAACACCTTATTCACATTATGGTATGCAAATAAATGAATATGAATATGAATATGAATATGAATAATATATAATTGGTATAGTTTGCTAAAGTATTCAGGTAAGAAAATAAAGATAGATACAGTACAGAGATATTAACCACTGGTTGTCTAGAGCCGACTGAGTTCCAAAAGATATGGCTTCATTACAAAGCATATTAGGCAGGTTTATTTAGCAGATCGTACGGCCGTTTGCTAGGCAATGTATAAAATTAAAGGTTTTTATGTATCTTTGTTCCTCTTTCTTTACTTTATAAGAATACTAATGAAATAGAGTGTGAATAGGGTGTTCATGGTGCCAAAAAAATTTGAGTCACCTTTAAGGTGCTTGCCTAAGCCGCTGTCTAGGTTTAACTCGCCTCTGTATACATTAACCCTCATGGCTGACTATATTACACAGATTTTATTCACAAAAAGATTTCAACTTTGAATATGAGGTAGACATGGAAACTGTATCACACAATTTGGATAACAAATTTTTTTTTCGATTTTAATATCTTAATTTTGTTAGGGGTATACACTAATAACCCACTTTATTTACATATCATCATACATGACGGGTCTATCAAACGTTTATCCATGTCAGACCATAAAGTTTATTACCAGACACCAACAAGAAATGCAAATTCTCACCGCTAGAAATTTGTATGTCCCCCAAATCCTTTCCGCCAATGTCCTCGGCCCCTTCCTTGGCTGCAGCAGCCAGGGCGGCCAGCCTGGCCTTTTCCTGCTCCTCCAGAGACCCATAATGCACTTGTTTAGGCTTCTTTACCAACACAACATCATCATCATCAGACATTTTGAGGTTAAGTTTATTTTCCGGCTTTTATACAACTGCCTTGCCCTTTGGATTGTTTTAGTAATTAATACACTTAGAAATAAGAAGTTTTATTTAGAGAATGCTAGCAAATATCAATAAACTGTAGAATTTAATAACGGCGGTATTGATATACACGTTTGACAGTTCCACAATAAACAGAATCTGGCGTTACTCTTTACGCACTAATCTTAAAACTCAATTTTAACGATTGACGCTGTTCCCGATTAATTTTATTGTATCAGCAAATTTATCTTATCTGATTAAAATTTTCATGTAATAGATTCTTACTTTTACAAAGTAACCTAGACATTTGCTCTTCTTATACCTACTGGAATAATGTTGATTGAATAAATTTTTGAGATTCCAAATTTGCGTGTAAAGAAGTGTCGTTCGCAGATAAAAATTTGAGTATACCACAGTCAAATTTGCAAAACCGTTTAGCGTAATCTTTTTTCCTACAATTGCTATTTTAGAAGTTAAACATGAAATTTAAAAAATAGTCGAATTACAAATTAAGCTCAATCATGCAAATAAATAAGTTTTTATGATTTTTAATTATCTCAAATATTCGTAAACATCAATATTCTTTTTCGTTTTATAATGAGGAAGTGGAATTATTTCCTAGCACATTAACAACACCGGGCAATGGTCGTTGTTTACGTCAGTGCGATTCTGCAAATAATTTACAAAAATTCTAATAAATACTTCGACTAAAATGTAAAAATACATGTCAATAATATATTAAAATTCTAATTATTGACATATTATTTCAGTTTTCGTGTAGTAAATAGCAATTGGTTTGACGTTAGTAACATAACCTATAAGTGCGTATTAATTTTGTGTAAAATTCACCTAAATTATGGCTCTGCAGTTATCTAGGCGGGAGGTGGACGACCTAAGGTCATCCCTAGACCGTGCGATATACAGAACTATTGGAAAATCTGATAGTTCTTTGCTATCGACCGTTTCTTCATGTCTGTCTAGTGGGTGAGTTTAAACTTAAAGAAATACTTGTTTATTATTAGTTGACAAACTTTATATGGTGTTTGTTATACTTATTAGAGTTTATTCTAGCATGATTATCGTTTATGTAGCCTTAGGAATCAAGCGTTCAGTAATATTCTTAGTTGATTCTGTAGCATTCTTAAAACATTGAAATTGAAATGTTTGGTTACATCAAAATTGTGTTAGTCCTTTATAGTAAGGGAGCCCATGAAGGGATTTCGGTAGTTACTCGAGCGCGTCAGATTAACATATGGGGAAAACCTAGTGTCATGTTGAATATACCCAACATATATCCGATCTGATTAGAAGGGGGGGACTGAAAATTAAAAAAAAAGTCTGACTAAATAAAGTCAGTTTCGTCAGATTAAGGGAAGGTAGGTCAATACCGTGCTAAAGGAAGTGCGTTTAAAAAATCTGCCCATTCCAACTTGATTTGCAAGAGTGGGGGGATTTTGAAGGGTTCTCGTTTGTACTCTCCAGAACATTCAACCCCACCATGCAAACTGGCAGATTAAGAGTTTTTTATTATTAAATACACATGGAGCATGTATGTACATTATCAATATCTGACACGCTCGACCATTAGAACAAAAGTTACGCTTAACAATTTCAAAGATCTGTAGATTCCCCCTTTCCCCACTGGTGGTAGAAATTGTCACTAAACCATTTCTTCTTTCTATCAGCATATCTTCAAAATCCAGTAGGTCCCAAGGACGCTCAAGTAAATCCCAATTTAGCATCGTGGGCTCCCCTACTATTAGTTATAGTCTAAAATTACCCTAATTATGAACTTATAGCTTGGAATGGCTGTAATTCCCTACTATTTCAAAACCTTTTTTGACTAAAAGTATTATATTTTCCTTCAATTCTTTAGATGGTCTCTGGAAGTAATAAATTACTTATACATATTATCATATCAAATATGTATATATATCATATACATAATATATATTTTGGGATATTAGTTTATTGCTTTTTAGTCCATATCCTGGCCAGGACAATGAGATATCACAAACAGTTGATTGTATGAATGATGTAGAATGATGCAGAGTCAATCACAACTGTGTTTTATGTAAAACTAGCTTCTCCCCGCGACTTCGTACGGGCAATCTCGTTTTCTCCCGTTCCCGTAGAATTTTAAGGACTTTTTTCTGTCATAAGAACCTCCTGACAATAATAAACACAACTAATTAAAATCAGCCAAATCGGTCTAGCTGTTCTCAAGTTATGGCGTGACAATGGGAAACGGGTTTCATTTATATATATACCCGTTGATATCCATCCCCTAAATTTGGTCATACAAAAGTATTCTCTAAACATTAGAAATAAGGTCTATAATGTAATGTAATATTAGTGGAAAGCAGTTATAGATACAAACTTACTTTTTTCGAACATACTTTTTTAAAAAAGAGTAACAAATGGAGTTTCTCGCTTGTTCTTCTCCATTCGAATCTACATTTTGGAATGAGCACCTATCTTCACCTAGCTTCACTGACAGACTGACTGACAGACTATTATTTATTTTGTATTTGTTGACGTTTCAAAAGTACCAAATTATGGTTTAATTGAAATAAATGCTTTGACTTGATTATTGTTAAATTCTGTGCTGTGTCCCCTTACTCGTTTAATCAGACGTCTATAGATTAATAATCACCTTTACAATTCCAGCTACGAACGCCGTAAAATAATAGACAAGATATCTGCACACATTGACTCTAAGAAAGCAAGCAAGCTAGCGGACAAAGTAATCGCTCTAGCGCAAGAACTGGTCTCTAGTTCCAAGCCTCAGAAACGTAAACATGAGTCTTCAGACCGGGATAAGGATGTCAAGAGGTCTAGACATGATGAGAAGGAGGAAAAGGAGGATAAGAAAGAGGAGAAAAAGAATGGAGCAGAGGGTGCCGTGCTGCCAGAAGGAGAGACGGTCGGGTCAAAGATGGCTGTTTTAAGCGCTGATAGGATTAAGGTGGGTAGTATAAGATGTTTTGAATTTTTGTTGTCCTTATTTTGTTGAATGACCCTCTACACGAGCAGACAAATCACCTGATGGTAAGCAATTGGCGTTGCCATGAACACCAGAGGTGTTACAAGTGCGTTAACAGCCTTTTGGGAATTGAGAATTTGAGGATTGTGGGGATTGGGAAGGAGGGGGATAATTGGGCCTCCCTAATAATTCCTAATAACGAATCACAACGCAAGCATTGTTTCACGTTGGTTATCTGCTCGTTGGTGGTATCACTCCGTTCAAGCCGGCCCATTCATGCCGAAGCATCGCTCTCCCACACTTATTATCTCCATACTAAAGGCATACCTACAAAGACCATTATGGGTTATAGCTATAGACAGCCTATAAAACCAACTGCTGGACAACAGCCCTCCTCTATGTAACAGAGTTTGTCATATTCTCCTTGTTTATAACCAGCATGCTAGAGATAAGAAGTTGGTGCGGTGGCTGGGCAACTGGCTGCCATGCAAAGGGTTAGATTCCCCAACACTTTGTGTAATCCACAAATTGTTGTTCCGGGTCTGAATGTCATGTGTATGTAAACTTATGTTTGTAAACGCACCCACGACACAGGAGAAAATCCTAGTGTGAGGCAATGCTTAAAAAAAAGAAAGAAGAACAAATTAAAATGCTTAGTCCCATAGTCGAGTGTTATGAATCCTGCTGCCGGGCAACGGGTCTCAGGTTTGATTCCCGGGTCGGGCAAAGTACTAATGAGTTTTTTTTAAATCTCAGTAGTAGCATGGAGTCTGGAAATGTATCCGGTATATCGCAATAGGCTCCCCTATTACATAGGACTCATAACATAAAATAATAGTGGGAAGTGAGTGTTACATTGTACAGTGGCATTAAGTGTCGTAATGTGCACCTCTGCCTACCCCTTCGGCGATAAAAGGCGTGAAATTATGTTATGTTAGTTGTGTTATAGAACAGTATTTATTTATAAAAAAAAAACTTAACCACATAAATAACCCATTCTCATTCTCTTCCAGTTAATGATGGCAAACGCTCAAAAGGAAATAGAAGAGAGAAAGAGAGCCCTCCTAGCTATGAAGGGAGAGTCCAAGAGTGGAGTGAGTGCTGCCGCGGCCACCGCTCAGCAGCTGAAGGTCCAAGTACAGCAGAACAGCTCCCTGGCACCGCCCAGTGTTATCAAACCGGTGCTGTATTCCAAACCTGGTATGTAGTCTTTATATTTCTTTTAGTATAGGCATGTTGTCAGCGTCTCTCTTCTAATTCTTCTGTTTTAATTTGTCAACTCAATGTTTTTATTACTTCCACTGTCACTCTTTTATTGTCTTTTTTATATTTTACTAGCTTTTACCCGCGGCTTCGCTCGCGTCACAAAAGGATAAAAGTAGCTTAAGTGACATATACCAATACACACAGCGCCATCTATACCAATTCTTTTGTTTTCCCTCGGGAATATCAAAATTTTCCTGGATAAAAAGTACCCTATTATTTATTCCAGACTTCTAACTTTACGTCTGCAAAAATTCAAAGCAATCGGTTTAGTAGTTACGGCGTGAAAGCGGAACAAACAAACAAACAAACAATATATATATATTTATGCTGCATCGTGCCTGGTGCTGAATAAATGTTGTCTCTCTCTTTCTCTTTCTATTGTATACCTACAACTGACTAATTTTTTTGTCTCGCCTTTTAAACCTTTCCTGGTTTTCCACAATCATTTCAAGACCACAATTAATCAAATCGGTCTAGTCGTTTTCGACTTTTAGCGATACTGACGAACAGCAATTTTTCAGGCCCAATTAACACCCCCTCCCCCTTACCAATCTCCCCAATCTCTGAGTCTCCAACAATCCTCAAATTCCTAATCCCAAAAGGTAACGCAGTTGTAACGCCTCTGGTGTTCCAGGCGTCCATTGGCGACGCCGATTGCTTAGCGTTAACGGGCTTAAAATTAATCATAACATATTTGTTTTCAGTGGGAGGTGGTCTAAGTCATGAGGAGTTGGAGAAGCAAAGAAAAATAGCCGAACTGCAAGCCAGGATACAGAGGAAATTAGCTGGTAAGTCAATGTGTTAAGGATTATATTCATTTGATGAAACATTCCTGCTTGGTTCTTCAAATAGATTGGAAAAAATTGGGCATTTCGGTTATGACAAAAGACATAGACAAAGATTATTTATTTGCAAAAACACGTGTGAGATAATAATCTATACTTCTATACTAATATTATAAAGAGGAAATATTTGTACCTATTTTTGTATGTTTGTAATGAATAGGCTCAAAAAGTACTGGGCCGATTTAAAAAATTCTTTCACCAATAGAATGCTACATTCTTCCAATTTGACATAGGCTACATTTCATTTTGAAAAAAAATTAGGGATCCTTGGTAAAATTTGAACAATGTAACCGAAGGTGT